CTGGAGAGCTGGTACGAGTGGTTCTATGGGGAGGACATCGGGGGCCGTTTTCCCCCTCCCGAGGACCACGTCCTGGCAATTGCCGAACGCAATGCATGGCGGAAGATTCACGAGCAGATGCATGAGGGCAGCACCCTCAAGGCGGCCATGCTGTCGGTAAGGCAGGACACATTGTTTTGGACACGTGAGGTCTATGAGAAGATCAGGACCTTCTCCAGGGGCCGCCCACAGACCAGGACATCCATGGACTACGCACCACCCCAGAAGGGCAAGAACAAGTCCAGGGCAAGGGGAAGTCCAGGGGCAAGCCTGGGAGCAAAGGGAAAGGTAAGCCCCCCCAGCCGAACAATCAGGCTTCCAGGGGCAGTAACAAGCAGGCGGCCACCGATCCGAAAGGGAACCAGTTCTGTAACAACTGGATGCGCGGGCGCTGCCCGGGCAACTGCGGACGCACGCACAAGTGCAACCTCATCCTGGCGACGGGCCGCATCTGCCTGGGAGACCACCTCCCGCAGGACTGCCCGGGTTGACTAGGGGCTCGGACCCCGACCCCCTGGGAGGCCTCAGGTGCCGAGGGCCCTGATAGGTCCGGGGGGGCGAGAGGGGGCGAAAACGCCCCAAGCAGGCACATGAGCCCCCTCCTGCAGGTGCCGAGGGCCCTGACACAGGGGGGGGACAGGCCAGGTGGCGGCCCTCCTCGGCGGAACAAGGATGGGGACGACAGAACCAGCGTGCACAACATCTTAGCTGGGGTCAGAACAACCACACAGCTGACACAACGGCAACGCCGCAGCCCCGTGCCACAGGTGCCGAGGGCCCTGAGATGGCAGGGGCGGGACGGTTCCCCGCAGGTGCCAAGGGCCCTGACACGGGGGGCCGCGCCCAGCAGGCCCGAGTGCCGGACAACTGGCAGCACACCGCAACGCCGAGGAACACGCCCAGGAGGCAGCCGTCCCACTTCCGGCGCCCAACATCATCAAGCAGGACCCGGTGGTTTTTCATAAGAGTTCTGTTGGGCTGAATGAAGGGGGCCAACGCCTTTCAGCTACCCCCCTGACAAGTCCCACGGAGCTGTCACCGGGAGGGGACACCTTCCCGTGGATGGAGAACATCCCGGAGCGCCTGGCACAGCGGCTGAGATGGACACAGGGCACATCGCCCAAAGTTCCATCCAGTGGGCCCATCATTGTCCTGCTCTATGCAGGCAAGGAAGACCCAACTTCCTTAGACAGCTGTCTTCATGCCAACTACCCGCACCTCTCCAGCATGGTGGTGGCAGTAGACATCCTACGATCGGGACCAAAAGGGAACCACGACATGCTCCAACCCGAGCTGTATGGAGCGCTCTGCACGGCAGCAAAGCAGGGCCGAGTGGTCTTCATTGGGGGAGGACCCAACTGCAGGACATGGTCCATCCTGCGCCACATACCAAAACCGGGGGCCCCCACCCCGGTGCGAGGACGCACTCGAGAGACACTTTGGGGCCTCCCACACCTGGACCAGGCCGCCCAGACTCAGCTTGATGAGGACAGTACCCTCATTTTGAGGCAGATGTACATCACCAGCCTGGCAAGGGCCTCAAGATCGGCGGTCTCTCTGCCAGGGCCAAAATCCTTCTTGGAGCACCCGGAGGACCCAGTGGTGAGCAGCTCGCTGCCCAAAGCCAAGGAATGCTCATCCTTCTGGATCACGGAGGAGGGGCAGCTTTGGATGGAGGAAAACTCCCTGACAGCAATCTCCTTCGACCAGTGCCGCCTGGGCCAGCTGGTCAAGAAGGCCACCACACTTGCCACGGATCTCCCAATCCAGGACTGGGATCAAATGCGGTGCACACATCAGTCACATGTGGGCACCAGCGAGTCCTCGACTCTCAGCAGATACCCCTGGGATATGATGGCAGGCCTGGCCAAAGCCATCGCTGTGTCACTCGCAGCGCCGGGGCACATCCGGATCCCCTCACAATTCCCGGGAAACCCTAAGGAACCACCTAAGGGAAGGGGGTCGGACCCCCCTGGGGGCCCTTCTCCCCGGGGAAAACGGGGACCCAATCAGGGAGGCGGTCCCTCCTCGTCACACCAGGGCCCAGAGCCCGGAGGCAAGAATGCCCCGAAGCCCCGCCAGCACGGGCACATCCACCATGAGGCTGACACCGTAAGCCCTCGTGGAACTATGACCCAGACTTCCCATCTCCCATGCCCCCGATGGCCGGAGATGCGGAACAACTGGAAAAGGAAGAACATGGGGACCAGGTCCTGGACCGCCCCGAATGTCTGCCCGCTTTCCGGGTCCCACGCCTCACTGACCGAGTTGCGATTGTCCAATTGGGTTTCCGTTCACGCCCCCTGAGAGATGGGGGGGGGGGGGAGGCTCAACCCCCCCTTTCGGAGAATTTCCCCTTTGGCTACTTTGGGCGCCCTGATCATGACCCTTACCAGGCCCTGGATTGATAAGGTCCGGATGTCCCTGGCATCAGGTGCCACCACACACCCCTTCCAGGAAGCCGACCTCGAGGAGCTGCGGGCTATCCTAGGACCGAGGCACCTCCATGAACGATGCCCAGGACAACCCTTCCTCCTGGACTTAGTGTCGCACTTGGCATCCCTTTCAGGTGACCCTGATTGGGAGTTCCCCCTAACACTGAAAGAGGGGGTCCCCTTGGGAGTCTCGGACCCTACCTTGACCTCCCCGGGAGTTTGGCCCACTAAGGAGGAGCTTAAGGGAGAAGCCTGGCTGGGGGAAGACCCCCCCCCGCCAGTGGCTCATGATAACTACCCAACGGCTGAACTCTTTGCCGAGGAAATCGAATCAACCTTTTACGAGGAACGAGCCTTGGACATGGTGGACGGGCCCTTCACTCGCTCCGAGGCGGCGGAGAGGTGCCGCTGCAAACCGGAGGAACTTTGCCCGGGCCCCCTTGCAGGGATTGATGAGTCGGACAAGATCAGGACGATTTACGATGGCTCCAAAGGGGGAGCAAACGCACACATCCAGGCTCACACAGGGGAGAAGACCACTGCACCGATGGTCGGAGACTGCCTCCACGCCATCCACTGGCTCAGGACAGCGACGGACCATCCCCATCTACTTTGGGCCACGCTCCCGAACACTGAGGAGAGACCTCGGGATGTTCACCAGCCGGTGCAGGGGCAGTCCCCAGGTGCCGAGGGCCCTGAGAGGGACCCCCGCAGCACCAGCCTGCCCCCCAGGGCCAAGGGGCCTGATCGGGGCAGGGGGATTATGGATACCTCCGGCGGCATGGACGTCTCTCTGGGATCGACACCCTCAGGAGAGGGACCACTCCCAGGTGCCGAGGGCCCTGATAGGAGGGCCCCCTTCCCCCCAACCCCCCCGGGCACGGGGGGAGCGGGGGGGAACCCCTGAGATGGCAGCTGCCGACACAGGGGGAAACCTTCCTCATCCTCAAGGCAGATGTCACCAAGGCCCACAGGCGTATTAAAGTGCTCCCTAAAGACTGGAAATACCAGGTGGCCTGCATCCAAAACCGGTGGTGGGTCAACAGAGTGGGCACGTACGGCATGGCCTCGGCACAGCTGTACTGGGGAAGAAAGGCATCCCTGGTGCTCAGGCTCTTGTACTACATCTTCCCCCATGTGGACTGGCACTTAGTCTTTGTGGACGACTACTGCTGGGTCCTCAGATGCAGCCGGGCGGACTGGGACGCCACAGCCATCTTGGCTACACTGCTGGCGCTGGGAGTCCCGCTTTCCTGGAAGAAGACGGCGCTCTCCCCGATCAATACCTGGTTGGGTTTTGTGGTGGACCCAATCACGCCCTGTGTACTGCTGGCTCCAGTCAAACACGTCATAATCCTGGCCACTCTTAAACGGCTGGCCCAGGGGGACATCTTCACCAGCAAGGAGGTGGAACAAGCCCTAGGCCGTATTCAATGGGCTACTTCGGCGTGCCCATTGACGAAACCTTTCCTCCAGCCTTTTTGGAGCTGGAAGAAGGCCTGCACCACTTCGGGCAGGCCACCGAAGCTGGTTCGTGCTCTGGCCATACTTTTGGGGAGACTCTTCAACCAGAGGTTCCCACTGGCATCCCCATTTGCTCCCACACTCCCATGGACGGGGGCATCTGATGCGGGAGCTGGCAGACAGGCGGACCATGCATGGGTGGGTGGTTGGTGCTCGGACGTGCCCAACCCCGACAAGTCCCGTGTTAAGTGGTTCCAGCACAGAATCACACCGGAGGGCGAGCCGTGGGCCTTCACTACTGGGGACCCGCAGCGGGCGATAGCGGCCTTGGAGCTCTTCGGCCTCCTCCTTTTGGTGAGGGCCGTTCTGCTTTGTGCAGCCGGCTCGGCTTCTCACACTAGGATCCTGGTGGCTAGTGATAACCAGGGAAATGTTTTCTCCCTTCTTAACGATTCCACTCGTAGGATGCCCAATGCGGCCATCCTCATGGAAATTGTGCTCACGCTGCATGACCAGCAGGTCATGTTGGGGCCGTCGCATGTGAAACGCGACTTCAACACGTGGGCGGATGAGCTTACTCATCCGGACCCGCAATTCCCGACTGAGAACCGGGTCTTCCCCTCAGTCGAGAGCGAATTGATCACACTGATCTTCGCTACTTTCCTTCCTCACCCATGATGCCGGGAGGGCATCCGGTGAGGTGGGAGGATTTCTCCCTCGCTGTGGGAGTGGCATCAATCCTACTCCCATCAGCTGCTGAGGGGAGCTGCCCAGTGGAACTGGGCAATCCTCCCATTTTGGCACTAACCCTTATGCGGCAAAAAAGGAGGCACCGTTTTGCGAATAAGGCCTCAGTAGCACCTGAGTGGTGCTTCAAAGAGTCAGGTATTAACAATGCACTAGCACCAAACATGTACCTTTAGTGGCAAGTTAACGGGGAAAGGTCCTACACTCATGTCTCAACGGGGAATCACCCTTTCAGTCGACCACTTCACTGCGTTTCGTGCTCCAGCTCCCGTTTCGGGGGTTTTGGGCTGATTGAAGTGCCGATGGGCTGGTGAGGTTCGACAAGTGGACGGCGACGCTGCGCTACGAGCGGACCAACCCGTTGCAGCTGGGCAGCGATGAGCTCACGGCGCGGGTGGCCCTGGTCTACCAGCAGGCGTCGACCAATCGCATGGGAGGTGCTTTTGGGTTTTGCTTGGTTTGAGATGTCCTTCAACCAGTATGTTTGTTCTTTAAGCTTGTCCCTTGCAGGAACTAGTCGTTAGCACATCTCTTTCAAGGCATCCTAAAGAGGAAAACGGATTCCTTGAAAGGATATCGCTGAACTGTGTGTCCCTTGCGTGTCCAAGCAAAAAAGCAATCCTTTGAAACCGCACCCTTCTAATTTACCTCAGCACTTGGACTAGGGTGCTCCATGCCCAGTTTAAGCTACATGCCTAGGGAATTCAAAAACAATCCCTTGGTTTTGTGCCAGGAGAAATTTGAAACGTGGGCGCGTCCTTAAAACAGAGAGAATCATCACAACGCCATCCTTTAAAAAGTTTCTTCAACTAGAGAAAGAACATCCTTCTGAGTCTCATGAATCCAGGCCTCCTTGTGCTGTGGCTTCTTCCCCGACCTCTGGTACGACTTCTCAGCGTGGCTGGACCTGGGCACCCGGGCCGCAGGCCGCAGGCGAAGTGGGGGGTAGGTCCCGGGAGGCGGGGGAAGGGAGCAATCCTGGCGCCTCAAATTCTGTGGGGCCGAAAGGCTTAAAAGTTGCTAGGGCTCATGTGAGCCTCAGGAGTGCTTGGGGACGTGTAGGCAATCCGCCCCTTTTGCAGTTCCAACACCTATAAATACATTGCCAGGGGATTTGGGTTGCAGCCCGGGTGTGTCAAGCGGCGAAGCCGCGAAGCGCCGAAGCGCAATAAACCGCAGAAGCCGAGAAGCGCTACAATTACTTTTCAGCTTGCGGCAAAAGCTGAGGGGGTACATCCCTGCCCAAATACACGAGTACATAAAGGGCGCACAAGCATATTTACCAGGAAGACGCTAGGTTAGCCCCTTGCTTATGAACGAATTGTTTGTGTCCTGATGTTGACCCTCCTCCCACTAACATGGAAACTACTTTCCTTCGAAAGTTCTGGCAAGGGCAAGCAGTTGAAGGAAAACAGTCCCCGAACAGGGCTGTCCATTCTTCAGGAGACTGGGTTTCTGAAATTGGCGGCCCCTCAAATATTTGATTTATCGCTGCCGTCTATGAAGACCCGACCACATGGAGCAAGGCAGCTTTGGCTTGGTTCGTTGGTTGGTTCTTCTTCCCTTTGTCAAAGGCCTGTGGTCGAATTCTTTGGCCACTCAGCTCACGTCGTTCCCAGAGCCTGAGACACTCAATTCATGAGGAGATCATTGTATGTATTGTTTTTGGATAGCTTCAACATCACCTTTTGGTTGCTGATTTAACCTGAGCTTTCCTTACGTCGGGTGATGTAGTCTCACCCTTTTGTGTTGCAAGGGGGAACCAAAGTGAGACTTATGCCTGACTGAGCACACTCATAGTAGCGTACCATTAGTTTTGGCAGGACCTGGAGGCCGACTGAATTGTCCCATTTAAGATCAGGGGAGGCCACCGACATGTCCCACGCCGTGTTTGGAGAACATGCGTAGTTTTGTCCGCTCATGTAAATACTGCAGATGAGCATGGAACTCAAAAAATGATTGGGAGGTTCCTCTCCAACACATGCCTTTGTTTCGGCGGTTCCATGCCAATCCAGCTTAAACCTTTGACTAGTCGCCCTCCAGCACCTTCAGTACTGAGGCAAGAAGGAGGCAGAGGCGACGGAAGTGCTGCGGAAGGGGGTGGAGCGCTTTCTGCCTAAGGCACCGGGGGGAGGAAGGGGGGATTTCTTCATTCTGTTGATCTGTTGTTGGTTGCATGGTTCTGTTTGTCTGTTTATTTGTTTGTTTGCTTCTGTTTGTTGTTGGGGGGTATCTGGCACAAGATGGATGACCTGCACACATTGGTGACTCGCTCTGATTCCTCCCTGAGGCAACTCGGGGATTCGGCACCGATTTCCTGGCAGCCCATAGTTCAGAGTTCCCAAAAAGCTTAGCCGGTTTGGCGGGTATGTGCCAGCAGCTGCTTATCAGGTGGCTGCATTCAATTTGTTGGTAATTGGCCATGCACCTGGCAAGATGGAACTTGAATTTGAACCGCCAAGGCCTCGCCAACCAGTGTTTCCAGTCTCAAGTTCAGGTCTACTGTAGGCGTGTTCCGTTGATCACCCTCGACTGGAGTTCGGCAGATGGCTGCCAGCCAGCCTCAGCCAATGGCCGAGAGGAGCATGAGCATCAACAATTGGCAAGTGGCCTCTACCCCTGGGTGCGTCGTTCTCATTGACAACTCAAACCTTTGGATTAGTGGCAAGCAAGCCGCCGCACGCCTCCAAAGGCTGAAGAAAAGCAAAGATGCCCCCAGCTGGCGTGTAAACATCGGCTGGTGGGGGTCATGGAATCCGAGGAAGAGTTCAAGACCGCCCTAGTCGCGGTTTTCGGGTGAATGGACCCAACGGATACCTTGTGGCAAAACTATGAGCGCCACAGCATGGCGGTGAAGACTTGTAGGCGGTCCACATGAACTGGCAAGGCGAAGCGCGTGGACTCAAGCATTGTCAAGCTCCTGTCTTTGCATCAATGCTTTTTTGAAGGCAGGGCAAGGGTTGAGACAACCTCGCAGCGACCTCTTCAAGATAAACTGGATACCGGTGCTGAAGCAGCTGGGAACTGTAGGCCAAACAGCAAAGAACATATGTTTTGCGTTAATGATCATAGGGCCTCGTTGCTTTTCTCGCGGTGGGCCACTGGTGAGCCGATCAACCCAACATGTTTATTAGCAAAACATGGTCAAGTGCTTGCCTGCGTATATGGTTGGCCCAGCTTCGAGGCATGGGGCGTGATGTGGATAACCCAGCAGAGTTAAGCTGGTGACTACAAGGATGTCATTGAGGAGATTTTGCAGCTGGGCATTCGGGTGAACTTGTGGTCGTGGGAAAAGTCGACGCATTAAGGCCTACGAGCAGATGAAAGAGGACTTCAAGGACACGCGAAGAGAAGGGCATTTAGAAACTCGGGGTCTCTTAAAACCCAAGTTCGGGGTTTCAGATGGAGGACTCCTGCAATTTTCGAGTGACCCCCCGGCCCCCAGGACACCTTCACGATCAAGTACTTTGACAAGGGGAATTTCGAGAAGATCGGCTTCTCTGATCCCCTGACTCGCACAGAGATGGTCGGCATGATGCAGGAGAGAATGGACCGGACTTTGGTCTTCACCACGTCCAGCAAGATGCCCTTGGAGAAGCTCACCGAAAAGGTTGAACAGTTCAGGGAGACCTTGCAAGTGCACAGCTGGTATTGTCCGAAGAGCGATCAGACCGCGTACTTCCTTGTCATCCATTTTGACATGGCGCATGAGGAGTTCATGGACATTTATGTGGATGCCAAGGTGTTCTTTAAAAAAAGGGCGGACTGTGTGAAGACGTTTGTGGAGTGGGCCAACGGTGCGGCTAAAGAGGTTGACATTGATATCTCTGCGACGGGGCGCATGTGGCATTTTGCGGAGGAGGAGGGCCAAGAGAAGTTGAAGCCCAAGCCGGTTGAGAACCTGGCTGATGCAGGAGACAGCGACGAAGAAGCTGGGGAATGGCAGGTACAGGTAGCTGCATCCAGTGGCTACATGCGCCATGCAAAGGAAGAAGCTGAGGTTTGGCGAGACCGGGTCCGGGGTACGGCACCGTGCAAATTTGGCCAGTTTTGCACCAATGGCCTGCGTCTTTGCGAATTTAATCATGGCGACGCGGAGGAGTTCCTCCGCCGTCACGGTGGCGCCTCGCCTTTCAGGATCAATGTCCACAAGGCCCGTGGCTGCTGGCAGTCCCAGACATGCTGCCGCTGGCCCAACCACAATTTGGATCCTGACCATTGGCGCCAGCACTGCAAACACCTTCACTCCACTGAAGACACGGTTTGCCCGCTATGCCGGAAAGTGGGCTGTGTGTGTGTGTGATGCAGGGGGGAAGGGTGCTCTGATTCTGAAGTGCAACAAATACGTGCTTTGAGACAGTTAGGACGGCAGCGAGTCCTGGCTCTCCTGGAGATTGACATGGACCCCCACAGGCGACCAAGTGTAGGGGAATGTCCTTTCATCGTTCAGGTTCCATGTAAGTCTTTGGGAGACCACCAACGCAGTTGATGTATAGAAGATGAGCATTGGTGCAGTGGTGCTCTAAGCAACTGTTTCCTTCGTGCTCAGCTGCATCTTTGGACTGAAGCGGCTATGAGGAAACCAAGGGCGAATGGGACGTGCCACTGAATTGGAACCGCTGAATAATTAGCAAGGAACGGTGCTGAATGGAACTGCAATTGTTTGGATTTGTTGACCCTTAAAATCCTGATTGTTGCTGGGTCCTACATGTTTTGGATCTTGAGGCAAGGATGAGGCTGGGCGCAGATGCGAGGTAGGAAGCCTGATGCCGAAGTTTAAAGCTAGGGACGCAGGTTGGTGGTTGTGGAGGAAGACTCCTGCAAAGGGGTCCCTCCATTTGTTCTGTTTTGGTTATTGGAGCATCACCTTTTTGGGGTGATGTTCAGAAGCAAAATGAACAGGACTCACGCCTTATCGCATGTTGCCCTCTGAGCACATATGGCAGCGAGCTGAATTGGTTAAGCTTCAAAAAGTTGGGTTGTGTGTTTTCCGATTCTTGCTGCAAGCGCCGTGACAGAAGTGGGCTTGGCCCTTGATGCCGTGCCTGGTCCCCTTTGAAGCCAACTCCAAAACCGGAGCACCCTTTTGCCATCTTTTGCCCCAAAGGCAGGCCTCACATGGCTTGAGACGTGGCAGGACCTCACGCTGCGGCTGCTGCTGGCCCAGCGCTATGAGTTAGAACCAGTGCAGCTCGAGGCAGCGGACGACGCCTACCGGCGCCTCGAGGGAACTCGGCTCGCTCTGTCAGCGTGGCTGGGTGTCTGACTGCCAGAGCTTGGGACTTGTTTTCGGGAGATTTCGGGAGCATGTCGTTGACCGTGTCCAGGTCCGGTTGTTCTTAGCGCGGCGGCCAGGGCTTGAAATCTTGCCTTTGCTCTTCATCACCACGTCCTCATGGGATGTTTGTGGCAGTCAGGGCAGTGGAAAACAAGCAAGTAACATGTTCAAGCCAATCCACTGGAAGACATATTCGACTTGTGTATGCCAACCCCGTCAGGAAGTCAGCTATTTGCAGAAGTGCCTATCTGACACTGCAATCTCATTTTTGGAAAAGAAAGGACGTCATTGCATGGGACCGGGGAGGTAACCCTATTATTTCCCGGGCAAGTGTGGCTACAGACTCTCTATGCCCACCTCATTTGCTTGGGGGCTGAAACGGTTTGGGGGTGCAGAATGCAAAGGCTTTTGCCATTGCTCAAAGATGGGAGGGGCTCGTGACGGAGTGTCTTGCCTGAGGAAGTTCGCAGCCATTGATGGTCTGACCATGGCCGTGGCAAGCCAACATCTGCAGGACCCCCTAAGCCTTAATCGGAGGTCCAACACATGTAATTGTCATTTTTTCGGACGCCCCCAAGGGGATGGGAATCAGGTATCCAGTTCAAACCGTCGATGGGCCCTGGTAGGCTTGAAGCGGCAACTTAGTCCCCCAAGTCCCAACCTTTTGATTTTTTTGGTATCCCTAGAAAGACTTCTTTGACACTTACCATTCGCAGGTAACATGGGCCAACCATTCCCTTTAACCCAACAGTGGTTGGGAAAGGGTCAGTCCCACTTTTTTCTGGTACTGCGAAGAACAAGAAAGTAAAGGGGCCCCGAAGAATTCAAGCTTTTGTTTCCCAGGGATGAGACATGCCGAGAGCCGAGGAAGCTCATGGAGGACATGCCCAGGCCCTGCCCGCTGGCCCTGATCAACTTCCTGGGCTACGTGCCTCGCCGTTGGTACGGCTGTTTTGTCTCGAAATAGATTGTGGAACAACGAAAGCGGGTGGTCCAAAAGGGGCAGACGCACTCTTTGGCAGGGGTGGTTGATGCGAGAAACGAGGACCTATTTGGAGACAACTCCGATTCAAGGCATCGCAGCTTTTAAGAAACAAAACTCCAACCCTTTCGGGTCCCACTTTCTCTTGGTCTTTCAGGTTTTTAAGCAGACCTAGAATCGCGAAGCTTAGGTTTCAGGCTTCTGCCCGGTTTGGAGTGTACCTGAAGACTTTCCTTCAGAAGGAAAACCACCCCACCCACCACCAAATGAACCCCGAAATGAAGGCACCCTTTGGCTTCGCACTCTCCCAATGGATGCTAATGGGAAATTGCAACCCGGGCATTTCTCTCCAGTTGGGGTGGAGGGGGGTTGAGCTCCTCAGCGGCTTGCCACTGCCGGGTCCCGCACACACATCCGTGCGAGGTGCGGCGGCAGCGCGGGGCCAACGACTTCAGGGATACCTTCCTGGAAGCCACGGAGTCCTCGGCCCACTGCACCTGGGAGGCCTTGGCCCCGGCCACCGGAAGAAACGGAAGCTGCGGAGATGGAACAAGCAGACTATGGTCGGGCTGCTTTTCCTGTTGGAGGGTTTCTCTAAAATATTTGTGGACCTTGGTTGTCGGTTTGCTTTACTTTCCCCACTGAAATTACCCGGGGAAAACACAGAGGACTGGATGCCGCCCAACTGGACAAGGATGTGTGTTTTTATTTTTATTTTTTTTGAAGCAATGTGTGCTTCATGCTTTTTCCCCGGGAGGTTGGGAGTCCTTACCCTGCCTCACGGATTCCGCTGAAAGCTCCAACCTGCAGTTGGAAGGCCAATTGAACGGAACTGGGCCTTGTGGGATTTCCCCAGTTCAGTTACCGCTTCTTTGGCATGTTCTTATTTGGCCCCAGGGCTTGCTGAGCCTCTGGGGTGATGGGACTCTCACCCACTACACCGTGTCACAGAAAGAGCTCAGCTTTTCCACAGGAATGCCTTGCAGTCTTGGCACATGGGGTCGGCAGCGGAGGGGATACACATTGAACACCAAGGCCCGTTCACAAAACCAATTCGGGCAGAAGGATTTGATTCTTCAACACTGATTTTATAAAGGTTCCTTTTCTGCCGTGTTATTCTGACATCTTTGGTATACTTGCTTTGCCATGTGCTGTGAGTCCACTGTGAGCGGCCATTCCTTTTGTCTTGGCGCTTGTCTGCTAAATCGCCCAAAACTGAAAGCGACCGGGTGGGTAGAGAATTCTTTGTTATACCTTTTCCAGCCCCCCCACCCCCCCCACAGCAAACCAGACGAAGGTTTTGCTTCCCCCCCGAATTTGTCTCCCGGCCTGCTTTGATTCACGGCAGGTGTATGTCTTCGCCGCCATGACCGAGTACCACGTCTACGGCGCGGTGGAGGCTGGGCAGCTAAGTCGCTGGGTAGCTAGGGTTCTACGAGCCTGCTTGAGCCCAAACCGCGCTTCTTTTGCCAAGTCCGGCTTGTGACAAGCGAAAGCTTCTTTGGATCCGGGTTGATTCGGGCGGTAGCTGATTCCATGCAAATCCCCATGTTCATGTTTCGAGTTGGAGGTCTGGTTGAAGACTGAAATAGCTTGAAACAACTGTTTCACATAGTTTACACAACTAGTTTATGATTGGTTTCATCTTTCCAACAAGGGACGTGTACAGGGCTATCATCATCTAGAACACGGCTTCCAGTCCACCGCCCGGTTTCGCTTCGATCCCCAAGAATGGCGTATCCATGGCGCCTGCTTTCAGGTTTGGGCTCGTTTTGAACAACTAGGCGATGCGTATTATTGCAGAACACCACTACTGGCGACTACTGGTATACTCCCGCTGTCAGGACGAACGGGAGTTTTTGATACCCCACTACCCCATTCGAATTGCCCTATCGCCCACAAACATGGAACCCACCACGGCTCCCTTTTTGGAGGAAGCTAGCCTCCTCCCAGTGGACAGAAGGGGATTGCGGCCCTTATCCCAGATCCCCCAGTGCCATTTCTTCCATATTTATATGTATATATTTGCGTTCTTTCAACTAGCAACAAGAAGAGTGCCCTTTGCGTTTGTTGTCCCACGGCTGGGGTTTGCGTAGTCCCCAGGCCGAGTCTGCCGCTAAACCGAGCGCGGGCTCGCCAGGCGGCCGCTGGGGTCTTCCGCCTGGGCATGGAGCGATACGGGGACAGAGAGCCCGCGCTCCTGGCGGCCTACGTGAACTTTCTCATAGGCGCGGAGATCCCTCCCCCCGAAGCCCCGTGGAAAAAGGCAAAAGGACTCGAAACAACGGGAAAAAAGAAGAACATCAATCCAACCAACTTGACACAAAGTCCCCACCCGCTTTAGACAGGGATTTGCAGAGGGCCGACCCCGGGAAATCTGATTTTTAGTGCATCCCCCCCCCCGTAGGGGAAGTCTAGGAACGGAACATGGAAGGCGTATTGGTGATTTTTTTTCGTGGCTCCAGATGGTGCGCTCAGACGTGTGGTCAAGTCGGGGTTCGGGACACGGGGCGTACCCATGCCTTATCCAGGTATGCGCAGGTGTTGATTGGGGTGTGTCTTTTTGTTGACCCCTCAAAGTGCCGGTTTTCCCCTTGGTTTCCCTTTAAAACCTGAAAGAGAGGGTACCCTCAGAAAGAAGACACGCCCATCGAGGTTTGCATAAGGACAAATTGAAGATCCAGCTTGTGGGCCGTGAAGTCTTCATGGGCGGGATTGTTATAACTGCGCAGCCAACAGGAGCCATGAGTCGTTTGAGGGGTACCCGTTTTGACGGATGGTTCAAAGGGACAGCCAAAGGGAAATCGGTTCCCCTTGAGCTTCACAAAGGAACAGGCTCAGTTGAGCCACAACAACCTGGCTGGTGAAGGGGAATTCGGCTCGGAGAGCGAGCCTCTTGATGCTTCACATATCAAGGGCAGCGTTTGAAAGAAGCTGATGGTTGAGACCTTAAATGCTGCCGGGACTCGAGACACACACACACACACAAATATGTGTGAGTGAGGCCGGTGTCGGAAGCAACATGTTCGTTTTATGGTGGGCCGTTATTCCGTTGGGGGATTGGGGTTTGGCATTGAGGCTTGGGCGGAGGGAGTGGGCGGTGGAGGGGGCACTGGGAGCTGTGCAGGATGCAACGACCTGCGCAGCGCCCGTGCCGAGCTCTCGCAGGGCGTGCTGGAAAGGCTGCAGCAGGCCATAGGTCAGAAGCAATCTGCGGGGCTTGGCGCCCGGCTTTCCGTAGCCATGGGTTTCTTTTCGAAGCACAGAGTTCGTGGAAGGATGCTCGGTGTGTTTGCTGGAGAGGGGATTTACACAAATTGTTTCCGCTGAGGGCGGAGCTCATTGCAAATAAAGTTGTTTTGTTTGCTCAGCTTTGTGCAATCTTTACTTGATGCCCATCTCAAGTGTTCTCAGTATTGGGACGGGACGGTTTGTGCAAGTGAATGCCAAGGTTGGGGCAACAAGCGCCAAGCGATTTGCCAAATCCAGGGCGCCAATTAGCTGTGCGGGTTGGGCGAACGCCTCGCTTCGGGAGGCGGTGCGGGACCGCTTGGCCAACCGGGACGAGAGCCGACCCTTGCGGGAGAGCTTGTCCTTCCTCTGGCAGAAGTGGGCCAGGCGGCGCTTCGCCATGCGCAGGGGGCTCCCCAAGGTTCAAGGGGAAGCGACCATGGCAGGTAGTTGTTGTATGCTCAGCGGCACCTCATTCGCAAATTGTGATTGCCTCCTGGTCCGTTGATGCCGGATTTCAGCTGGGGGAAATTGAGCCACGGAATGGGTTTACCTTCAACCCTCACAAACACATCCCGGAACCCCAAACAAACCTGCCCACTTCGGTATGAACTTTGACCCTTTGGGCCCAGAAGTCCCACTCGAGCGCTTTGTTCAGAAAACCGCCGAGTTCGGCAGCTTCCCTCGAGGTTGGAGAACTACTTCGGGGACGCCGAGGCGGTGCGGCGCGCCACGTCCTTCAGAGATTCCGAGCCTTGAGCGAATCGCGGGAATCGCCGGGTCGATTCGCCTCTTCTCCAAGCCAGCTCCAGGATATTCCCCAGGAAATCCATGTGTTTCGTGGGTGTTCGGCCCATTTCCTGTAGAAACTCCTGTTGTTGTTTGTAAACATGATCTTTGGAGGTTGTACTAAAGTGAATCCAAAATGAAATCGAAACGAAGTCCATTTGGGGGTCTGACAGTGAAGGCTCAAGGCAAGAGCCATGTTTGAGGTTGTTCTGAAGTGGGGCCAAAAGAGCACCTTATCCTGCTTGTTTGATTAAGGGGCAGCACGGGAGGGTGAGGGTGGGCTGGAATGCCTGGAATTAAACTGAAATGACAGTTGACAAATATGGCAAAATATGCGAAATATGGGTATGAATTTTGCTTTTCGGGACCCTTTGATGGTTATTCCCACCAACCTGCTTCCAATTGAAGTTCATAGAAGTTCATAGACACATAGGAAACAGAGTGTGTTTCCAACAAATGGCTGTTCCTTTTTTTTTCTCTTTTTTTTTTTTCGGGCACTGTTTCTTGTTCCTCGACCCAAACTTCTCAAACATCGACAAACACCTGTGTTTCCATAACATCGGCCATAACATCTCTAGGCCGGGCGGTAATTCTCCTTAAGTGGACCTCCTTTTTGGGCTCCATGTTCGCTCTGGGCGACGGTCTGCGGAACTGACCTGAGGAATATCGAAGTCTCCAGCGGGACTTGGAAGTGGACGAGGACTTGGGTCGGGTGGCCAGCAGCAAACGACGTCAGAGGGGCGCCCCCTCAGACGCAACAAAAAGGAGGCTGTTTAAAAAGTAAGCCTCAAAAAGCTGGTTTGGATTGGTTCAAAGAAATGGATTTGAGGTGTTCAGCACCTTTGGAAACGATGAGTCAAAAAACGGGTGCCGAAAGGAAGCTGCTTTCCATGGCGCTTTGTTACGCCATTCGACCACGTGCCAAGGAGAACATCCTGCAGACGCCCATCTCCTTGGGCTTGTGGGGGTCCCTATCGCCTGGCGATAGGCCAGCAAGCGCGTTTTGGATCCCCCAAAACAGGATCCATTCAAGGATGCATTGGGGCCAGCCAGTTTTTCAAATCAATGTTGCTGGCAAATATACCCTCCCTCCAACAATCATGGAAGTTGACAGGAGAGCTCTTGGAAGACGATGTTCCTTTTGGGGAACCCCTTTGTGCACTTCCATGATTGTTGGAAAGAGGGTAGAGGATCCGACTCCTTGAGCATGTCCCTTGTACTTCTTTGCGAGGGCAGGTGTGGCCCTGAGGAGTTTTCGATACCTCTGGCATAGAGGTTAGAATGGATCCCTAGCCCAGCTGCCCAGAGCTGTGGTGCAAGAATCGGTCCTTTCCAACGGGCAGGAAGCGCCTCCCCATGTCCACATACGACGAGGTTCTTAACATCCAGCGCGAATGCCACAGCAACAGCATCCTCTTTCGGTATGACTTTCAGCCATTGATGGCACGCGACATCGCAAAGGCAATGGAGGAGGCCCGAATAACATTCATACATAGGTGTGTTTTTCAGGTCAGATAAGTGGAGAATAGATGACCCTGTTTCAGTTGGTCGGTTTTCCCAAAGGACACTTAAGCATTCAAGGTGGTTTTGCATATCTCAGCGGTGTGAGGAGCCCCTCCCCCTCCAGCCCCAGAAAGTGTTTCATGGTTTGTCGAAGCCCCGGGCTGAGGCTCAACGCTTCCTGATCCGGGCTGTGTTAAGCACACTTTTTTTGAGGGCACCCAGGGTGGTTTGAAGCACTGTTTCTTGCCACCCCCATGTTTTGTTCAACCCATTTTGCCCGCGGCCAAGAAAAAAACAGGCTAGCCTGAATTGGTGGCTTGGAGGGTTTGACCCCCCGGTTCTTGTAGAGCGCGCCTGGGGCGCAAAAATCAAGTCCAGGGCACCTCCAACCACCGGAAACCAAAAAAAATCGTGGCCGGGTGCAACGCCAAGGTCCACCTCCATCCAAGAGGCGGAGGAGAGCTTCCGGTTTCTGCACCTCGTGCCCAGGCGAGTCCAAGCGGGTGGTTTGGGTGGTGCCTTCGGGTGGTGGATTCCACCTCTTCCGTTTGTGTCTGAAACTTTGGGGGTCATTGAAAGCACCGAGGGTCGCTGATGCCCCAGAAAAACAACCGCCTGGGGCGGGCATTTTGTGGCGGAGTGGTGCTGCGTGGCTTGCACGAGCAGTTGTTGCCCAGCCCTTTGGACCTTGCTAGGTCCACGCGGCCCCCGGAGCCCGTCCAGGCAGATGTCAAGGCGCAGGCACCGTGAGATGTCAGCGCTTGTTCGGTGCTGTTGCGTTTGCAGTGGTTATTGTGTCTTTGTTTGAGTGCTTGCCGTGTGGTTGTCTTTGGATTTGGATGTGTTTGCTTTTTGCTTGGGCCAAGTTTTGTGTGGTTTGTTGTCGGTAAGCGTGTTTGCCATTGCTTTCTTTGTTTGCAGCTTCACGTTCTTTTTCTTCTTCTTTTTTTCCTCATTTGTCCCACGCAAAGTCCGGCTGCTGGTCCATTTGCTTGCCTGGAACCTGAAAGGATCATACAAGTAGAGGCTCCCAAAAAACCATTCTCCATCTTGTAGGGTTCCCTTCATGCCCTTTAGATTGGTTGAAAGGGCAACCAAAAGGAACAGCACAATTGTGTGGCCCCTTTGAAATACTCCTTTCTCGGCCTCCTTTTGGCCGGCAAAGGACAAATCGGGAGCCTGTCAAGCTGGTGTGTGAAGTGGACACTGCCATTTGTCTGGCTTCTTCACCGCCCACGAAGAATGGATGATGGGAAATGAGGTAGTGTTGTCCTCCAAGTTGTGATAGGGTTGGTGGCATGGGGGCAGCGTCCAGGACATCTTTTTGTTTTACCCCCAAGGGGAGGGAATCCCTAATTTTTCATATGACAATTGCGGTACGGGAAATGTACACTTACATCGAAAGGACGCCGCAACCAGCCCATCCCAAAGGATGGACCAATTGGTATGCAGTGGTAGCTTCTCCATGGTTGCCATTGCAGGGTGCTCAATTTTGTTTGCCTTGGGTTTCATTGTTATTTTTCCAGGCTCGAAGGCTGTGATTCCCGATCGAAGCCTCAGGGCCAGCGTGCAATCCGAGAGCAACGGCCATACGCCAGCCTTTTCCATCTGTTCCAGAGACCCTAAACCCTAAACCCTACCCGAAAATTCCAAGGGTTCCCGGGTCCTGTCAGCATCTTTCAGCGGTTTTTCGGTGCGCCACCCGCGGGTGTTGCGCAGCGAGGACCAAGAGGTGGCCGACGCCGAGGGGGACTTCCGGCGCCTGGGGGGCGCGCAGAAGGCGGTGGGCCACGCCGCCAACATCGCGCGGCCGGACACGGCGCGCCCCAGTGGAAGGGAGCCAAGAAACGGATGGGTCCGTGTTCAGCCCCAAGTTTGGGCATTCAAGGTAGAATGTATTCGGCCAAGCAACTCACGTTTGGCCGGTTTGGGGCTGGGTTCTTCAAAATACCACGATGCCACCTGGGATTGAAGCCCCAGTTCGCCTAGGAAGATGCTGGCCTTCAAGCCGGCGCTGGATGTGGTGAGCGCGCGCCAGCGAGACGTCGAAGCGCGCCTGGAGCGCAAGGCGCAGGCGCCGGGGCGGGGGGCGTGGGTTGGATCACAAGAAACACACCTGGTCCGATTAGCTCATTGGTTTGACTTTTTTGCTTGGTCCGATTAGCTCATTCTCGCAGGATGCGCAGCTGCCGGTGATGATCCCCAAGTGTCTGCAGGATCTCCTGGCCGTGCTGCCCTCCAGGCGATTGGGCTCGGGCCAAAGCGGGCCCTTTCAAACCCACTGGATTCTGAGAGACGTGGCATTGTACCATCATAGCATAGAGCCTGTGTGTGGCAGGGCGCCAAAATCAAGTTGTCAGGTGCCGCTGTTTTTTTCGAGGTGCACTTTTCGGAGACATGGAGCTCCCTGAAAAGTGTAGAACTTGACCTTTCTGGGGATCCCCAAGCGTGTCAGAAGGTAGGGGCCCTTTGGAGGGGGCGTGTGTGGTTAGTGGAAGGCCCTCTCAGGGAGGGGCTGCCCATCAAGCCAGCCACTCGGTCCCTCGAGGATTCCGGGCGCTCTTTCTAGCAGATTGCTTCCCCAGATTATGATGTGGTAGACCTGTCGGAAGGCCAATGAAGGGCGCCAAGCCTGACGTGGACTACTTGTTGACCGTCCTCCAGACGGTGCCCATACCTCCAGTACCCGTCCCTCAGAGCGAGATGCAGTTTTGTGGTGTGCCCCACGCCCACACCCACACCCACACCCAATCCCCAAACCACTGCACCCATGCAAGAATAGGAGGCCGGCATGGCGATTGCATAGGGGCTGTAAACACAATGTCCCTTTCGGGATAGTTTGGGAGTAGAGGCGTGCGTTTTTACAACACTGCTTAAGGTGGGCGGTCGGGACTTTGTCCTTTCAAAAGTCAATTTCCCCTTGTCAGTTGAAAGCGAAGAGTTCAGAACTTATGATGCCCACACGCCGCAATCCCAATGAGAAAATGACTCCCGCTTGTGGTGGAGGGACCTTCCTCATATATGTACATATTTATATACATGTGTATCTGCCTGTATTTCTTCATATATGCATGCATTTGTCTCTTCATATTTATCCATAGCGATGTATATCATAAAGTGATGATAGTCATGCTGCTGTTTGCGCTGGGCATTGGCTCGGCGCTCAGGTAAGGGAACTGGACACCTTTCGCTACGACAGCCTGCGGCTCTTGAAAAGCGAGGAGGACTCATGATCTTCCTGGCTAGGTGCGCATGAGCGCTATATAATCGTCTGAAAAACAAGAAGCCCATAAAATTGTGGTTTCAGCTTGGTGTCCCCGAACACCAACCAAAAAGTGTTTCCCTTAAACGGCACCCATCGTGGCTATTATGTTGCTGGTCTCACCCTGAAGGAAGTCCTTAAGCTCCTTCGAGAATCTACCTGGCCCAATCATTCACTTGTCAACAGTGAGTGAGTGAGTGAGTGAGTGAGTGAGTGAGTGAGTGAGTGAGTGAGTGGGTGGGTGGGTGGGTGAGTGAGTGAGGGAGTGACACTCACACTCACCTCACTCACCTCACTCACCTCACTCACCTCGCTCACCTCGCTCACCTCGCTCACCTCGCTCACCTCGCTCACCTCGCTCACCTCCCTCGCTGTTGGGGATATCGCCTGAGCTTCTTCTTTTCCATAGGCATTCCTTCGCAACATCAACCATCCATCCTGTTTCACATCGAGTTTCCCTGGGTTTCTGCGGCTCAAAGTCGCGAGGACCGCGAGCGCTTTATGAACGACGACGGCGACGGCTTCTTCAGCGCCCGGTCCACCTACCGAGAGAGGCTGCAAGCGAAACGCCGGGACCTTGGATCCTCGGGATCGGGGACGGACGTTTGGGCGGGAGGTTGGGGGAATGGATGAGAGAAGTACTGCTGGAACATTGAGATGGAGGACAAAACAAGGGTCCTTAAACAGATGGGTCAGACCTTCTCGTAGACATGGTGCGTGCTTTTCAGGTTCAGGTTTGTTGTTGGGAGAGCCAGTCGCTCCGGGTGACATTCCGCACCTTACGTGTTGATCTGGAGTCACTGCAAAGGGGTCTGTTGCACAAACCTCCAAAAAGAATCTCAATAGGGCCCGCAGTACATTTTTTCCAGTTCCCGCATCCTCCTAGCAGAACCTGACAGCAGGCCTCTGAATTCAAATTTCCTTTCCCGGAGACTTTCGGGTAGGTTCCCATGTTGGTTGGTGGGTTCTTTGAGAAACACCTTGAGGTCAGAAGGTCCTGGTGGAGCAGCACACCAAGCAGGAAGCCTGACGGATGCCTATGTGACCCGCGAGGGAGACGAGGAAAAAACAAGCGCTTGCGGATGAGCATGCAAGGGAGGGGGTTTGCCAGTTTGTAGCTCATTGGTGGGCCACTGGAGGGGGGGGTTTTAGGAGTGCTTGCGGGCACGTTCTCAAACTTGGAGCCGGTTCGGGCCCCTTGAGGCTGCGTGCACATGTATGACCCTCTAGCACCCAGCAGAGGGGGCCTGTCTTAAGGCGCTTGGCCCGCCGAGCGTCCAGGCACGAGGGTTTGCCTAAGCTGGGCACGGGCCCAACGCTTGCGGGAAGCAAAGTATGATACGTTTCCGTGAGGCAAAGCTAGGACTTCTTTTCTTTCTTTCTTTTTTTTGGGGGAGGGGTTGTATGTTTCAAGGTGAAAGGTTTGTGAGTTCTCAGGACTGCCTTGCGTCTAGATTACTAAGGCGGAGGGCCTGTCGAATCTTTCAGGAAGATTTGCTTTTCTCCGCCTTTGGGCCAATGGCTTTCACTTGGTGATTTGGGTGTGTTTGTTCTTGTGGTGCCTTTGGTCGGAATCGGCTCAGTGCCAGCATTGCTTACGCCTTCTCAAGTTGAGTCTGTTTGTTTCAAGGGACTCCTGCAGACGTGAACCCAAACCAAACGCAAGCATGTTTAGAAGAGTCTCCTTTTGGGATCGGAGAATTCTTTCGGGTTCCTTCCGCACAAAATCGCGGGGTATTTCCCTCCCTCGCCGGAAGTGCCAGGCCTGGCGCAGCAGGCTCGGAGGGATGCCAAACGAATCGGATGGCGAAGGGGCGCCGCCGTCTACCCGAATGCACGGGGGCAAGGAAGGGCTTCCAAACTGCTAAACAAATCCAAGCAACATAAGAAGAACCCTTGTGTATAATGTCTCGTGGTTCGTCCTTGTGTTTTCCCGTTTCTTCCCGGGGAGCGGGGGGAGAGGACGTTTTTTTTCTTTCAAGGCTGGCTTTTGATAGATCTGGTTCCCTGGTTTTCTGGCTTGTTGCTTGATTGGCTGGATGGTTGATTGGTTGCGTGGGTGGGTTGGTTAGTTGGTGGGGTTTGGTTGCTTGGTGGGTGGGTAGGTGGGTGGGTGGGTGGGTGGGTCGGTCGGTCGGTCGGTCGGTCGGTTGGTTGGCTGCATGCCCAGCATATCCACGTCAACCCTAAACCCAACAGCAGCCTGGATATCAGTCCTTTGCCAAGCCAATTGAGATCTAAGCCAGTCTAAAACCAACCCCTAACTCGAGCAACCAAAGCAGAACCACCAGCAAGAACCAGATACCGCCTCTTGCCTCCAACCCGGAATGCACCTCCCGGTGTTTCCGACCCTAAGAAAAACCAGCGCTGCACTCCTACGTTAGGGCGGAGACTGGAATGGCTGGACCCGAGCTACCGGGAGACGCCCTACAGCGAGACGGAGGTGCGGCTCAGCGTGCAGTACACCAAGGAGCCTAGCGTGGTACGTGCCCAATTTTTTTCTGGGGAGGGCGGCACTTTTAAGCATGTCCGGGGTTGCTGCCAAAATTCAGGAAGCGTTGGGCCCCGTTTCTTCCGGTGGGGCCAAAACCTGGCAAGTTACCGGAAGCGGAGGGGTTGCGGTGAAAGGCCAAGGTGCCCTTTGCCGATTGCAAAGAGCACCCTGCTCTCTCATCGAATTGCAAGAATTCTAGGTGATGCACCTTCTGGACCTGTTTGCGGTGTATGTGTTTTTCAGGTTGCATATGAGTTGCCCTGTTCTTTGCGGGCGCTTGCAGGACGACAACTTGCGGAGGGGCCCATCTCAAATACAGGCATGCACTTGGGGGAGGTTTGGCAAAGAACAGGCATGCGAGCTCCCGCTTGCAAAGCGTGTTCAGAGGGGTATCTCCGCCCCTTGGCTCGGGGGAGGGTGGCCACGTGGCCACTGGGAGGGAGCGGCCGAGAGGAGCAGAAGGCGCTGCGCCGGAGGCTGCACGACGGGGATGCGGACAGCTGGCTGCTCCAAAGGTGCGCAGCCAATGGCATGGTGTCGGAGGCCCGGAGGGTCAAAGGCTGGGCCTTCCTCACGGGCGGTTTGCTTCTGGAAGTCCCTTGTGTAAATAGTCCTCCTCCTCCTCCTCCTCCTCCTCCTCCTCCTCCTCCTCCTTGCTCATCCTGATCCTCAACATCACCATCGCCAAAGCATCGCCTATCTTTGACACCATTGCAGGCGGACAACACGCGCCGGCCAAAGGGCGTCCCTTTATCCGGACGCAGCACTGGTGCACATGGCCATGATAGCAACAGTTAACCCTTTCGGTCCTTTTCGCCCCTTACACCATTGCATGGTTGTTGTTGGGACACATTTTACATTTTTGCTTATTGTGTTTAGTGGGAATTCCCCACTTGACTGCTAAAATTTAATTTGTTGCTCCCCTTCCAACGTCAACCGAGCCATTGCCCGACTTGCCGGCGATTTGTTCCCCCTGTTCAGCCGAGTTGAAAGGGTCGGGTCTTAACGTGTCAGCGAGCCGAAACCGCCAGGTGCTCGAGGCCGTGGAGGCCATGAAGGCAGCAGGCGGGGATGGGGCGTCTTGGGGGTTGCAGTTACAGAAACGAATTCGTTGGACAAACTCATTTGGCTGTGGCTCAAAAACCCGGTACCAAAATGGAACCCTGGTAAGTGGAAACATGGACCAAAACCTGCGTAACCCCCCTTTTTTAATTTTGAGCCACGCCCATTTGTTTCTTCATTTGTTTCTTTGTATATGTGAGCACTGCTGGAACACCATATGTATCTAAATGCGTAATAGGAACGCCAAGCGCACAACGCAGTGTTTTGAGGTACAAAGGTGCAAACAGGAGTTTGTGAGTTTTAGATTCGAAGCGAGTTTTGAAATAGAACAGAAGCTGCGCACATGTCATGCTTGGTGTGTTCTGAAATTCTGGGGCTGGGCCAGGGACGTTCTTTTTTTCTATGTCTCTGGAGGCAGCCATGATTAGGGGATGCCTTTTTCATAGACCAGCCGTGGTAGATGGTGTTTTGAAGGCTGTATTCAAATGGAAGGGGCTTAATAGGGGATGAAAAAAGGCTATCAAAAAGAGGGCTTTTGCGGAGGCCGTGTTTGTCAAGGCAAGTGTCTGCATGTAAAACTCAAGGCCTGCCTTTTGGGTGATACGATGTTTAGCCTCTGAGGCATGCCGTTTCTTCTGATGGCCCTTCGGTCAGTGACAGCCAGAATGATGAGCCAATCAGCCTGGACAAAGTACAAGCTCACTGCGGTTGGCTACACTGGGCGATAGAAGTGATGAAGGTTCCTTAGCTGGGAGTTCTAACTCGCAGGTGTGCTGGGAGTTCTAAATTGCAGGTGTGTGTGTGTGTGTGCGTGTGTCTGTGCGCGTTTGCGACTTTTCGCAGAATTGCACCACTTGGTGACTTTGCGGGAGAACCGTCGACGCACGCCTGGAGCTACGGCGGGTCGGGCATGGGAGGTGTGCAAGTGCCGGCGGCCAACCATCACGCCATGCTGAGGGCCTGCCGTGGACCCAGCTGCATGGGGATAGTAGCCATAGAACGGAAAGCAACTCCGTGATCTAGGTACATCCGGGAGGATTCCTGAGCATCAGAAATCCACGCGCTTTTGGGATTCTGTTGAGGAATATGGATGAGGTTTGCCCACCTCATCCAGTTGATGTCACTGGCCATGCAAGGAGCCAATGATTCCAAACTGTTTCCCCTGCGCCAAGGGGCGACCTACAAAATCCACTGGGAATTTTGTTAAGTTTGCTTACCGAGGCTCTGAAGTTGGTCGCTGGGGGCAGGCGCGGCATTCAGAGTTCCGAGGGGGACCGTCCTGGTTTGGGGCACCGGGTTTACAACCAGCGCACCCAGACATACTCAGTTGAGCAGCGACCAAAACCTGTGTTTGCTTTTTTGGAAGGTGATTCTACCCGGCTTCATCCTACAACAGCCCTTCAACGCACCAGCAGTCAGCTTGAGTTTTCCGCGCTACTCATATAGGTGCTTTTTTGAAGGGAGTACCTTTGCTTGGGGTTGCAACGCGAAACCCAAAGGAAAACCATCATGGCGTTCCCCGGTTTTGACGCAATCCGATATGTTTGCGCAGTTTGCCGCTAACGCATGCACCAGCAACACACACACAGACATGTTCTGACGCCATTGGGAGGCCGGCGAGCTGCTGGAAGAGTTCCGGCAACAGCGCGTCTCCTTGCAGCCCAACAGCGCACGCCTGGCGGTGATTATCGCGCGCTTCCTGGGAACTGTGCCTGAAGGGGGTGGAAGGGCCTGTGTTGGTGGCAAGGGGCGGGGGAGGGGGGGTGGTTGTTTGGTGTTGCCCACGGAGGGTAGAGGTTTGGTGGAGTTGTGTCCTTGTGGCCTTTTTGAGGACGGCCGTGGGGTTTGTCGGGGGGCGCGGGGAGGTGCGCCGGCATCGCCACGCCAACGCCGGCCGTGACAATCAGCCCTTTCCTGGCTTTGCAGAGTGCAGAGGTTGTCCCAGCGCAGAATCACTTTACCTTTTTTCGGCCTTGGCCTAGCTTGTCGCCCATTAAATGTCCATGTGATTATTTTTGTCTTTTGGACCAGGAGTCAGCAAAAATGGACAGGTGGAGGATCCGAAGTGCCGTTTATCTTTTCGTGCGAGACGGGGGGCACGTACTGTAGTACGTGCCACTGAAACAAATGCAAGCCTTGTACACACCAGCTTTGTCCCGGGATGCCCTTTCGAAACATTGCTCACCAAAAGGTAGCGCTCCAAATTGGCAAGGTGGTTTTTGAACAGGTGAAATGCAGCTGTCACCTGAATTCGAAAGCAAGCAAAGAGAAGCTAGAACACACTGATCAAGCATTGGACAGAGGCTCTCTCATAGGCGCTTCAGCACCCCACTCAGCCATCTCCAGCCATGCGGCTCACCGCGAAGCCCATCAGCGGGTTTGTCTCAGGAGCTCTGGGCAAAAAGCGGTCCCGGTCGGCGGCTCTACTTGAGACCTGTTTAAGCTGGTGAAACACGGCGGCTTCTCCACCAGAACTGTTTAACTCAGAAACACATCATTTTTGTGGTGCTTTCAATTGCGACGTTTCCTTTGGGCGGGATGTTTCAGGTTTGACATGTAGATCAACCTGGTTTGGGCAGCGCAACAAACGAGTTTGCAGGACGCTTTGCCCATGCGATTGCGTTAGGAAGCAGCAGCCATTCTCCAAAACCCGCCCTCGTCCTCCCCGTTATGGAGGGAGGCCAGCCGGACATCTGTACGGCCAAGGAACGAATGTTTCGTATGGGAACATGATCTATCCAAGTGTGACATAAGACTTAAGCAATTGCTTCTTGGAAAGCACCATTACACAAGTGTTACGGGTTATGAGTGATTTCTCGTGAGCTAGTATTGGACTGCAGATAGCGTGGGTGGGTAGGGGTTGGTCGCTTTATGCTTGGGGCTATGCAAGGACCCAAGGAAAAGCCCTCTAATCCGGGAATCGCCGTTCGGAGACAAGCCATTGTGGAATAAAATATTTAGTTTCTTGGTTGATGAACCGTTGTTGACTGCTTCATTGCAGCTTGATTATGGCTGTATGGCTGTATCCACAATAAGGGCTCAGCATTGCCAGGGTTCATGCATGAGTCCATGCAATCAGCCTCTTGGAAACCCTTTCCCTAAGCCCCTGGGTTCATACATACCGTAGGTGGACGAATTAATCAAACCCGTACAGTTGTACCCCCCCCCCCCCCGCCCCCCCAATTTCAATGTTATTGCCCGTTTGGAGGGTCGGGCTGGGTGAACGAATTGAATCAAACCCCGATGACATGAAACGCGCTGGTGTTTAGTGTAACATTGACATTGGGGGGTGCGGGGTGTGCGCCCCGCATCTGTCGGCGGTTTTGATCCATTTGTCCATCTACTGTAGGTCTGTGTCCAAACAGGGGCTTGGATTCCAAACATGACATCGGTGATGTCCTCATGGTTCCCGAAAACCGCCAGAAGGACTCACCCCGAACAGGGCGCCCACCAAAGACCAGCCCCAAATCAAGGACTAGGTGGGTTTGAAGCAACCCCGAAAGGGTACCAACAAAAACATCAAAACGCACATCCTTTTTGGCGCTTAGTGGGTTTCAACGGATTTCGAAGGGGAACCATCCATTTTGGGACCGCTGCATTCCGCCTTCGACTCGAGGGCTTGGTTCCGGGTAGGAGCCGATGGATCTGTAGCCGCGGTGGCGCCAGAGGCGGGTGCTCTTTGGCTGGTGGGGCGCCGCAGCCCTGAGGACGGGTCCAGGATGGGGGGGGTAGGGAGCCGGCATGCTTGATTTGGGTTGGTTGTTTTTCCCCTCAAGAAAATCCGGTTGTTTCCCGTTCTAACCACCAAAAAAAGGATACCCTGAAAAAACGGAGGCACCCATTTCGAGTAGGTTGCAGGTGGATTCCTGTCTCTGGAGAGGCTTGGTGATGTCTGCACTTCCCCTTGGCACACGAGTTTCCGTTTGGGAAAACTGGCGGGCAATGGAGGGATCACTTGGGGGTGTGGTTTTGGAGGGTTCCCTTTTTGGGGTTGGTTTACAGGGAAAACAAAGGCACGCCTCCCCATTTCGGCGGGTCAACTCCCTATGTTGACACCGCCGACCTGAGGAGCTCTGCATCTGGAGCGCTTGGGACTCGCCGCTGGGCAGAAACCCGAGGGTCCAGGAAAGTGAACGTGGAGGGCTTCCAACATGTATTATTTTGGCGGTTGGAGTAACAAAAATTAAAAACCCCTTCTTTTCAGGGGGGGGGGGCCGGAGTCAGGGGTCTCGAGCTTGGGACAAACCCAAAAAAGGCTCAAAACATACATTCAGCCTTTGCTGTGGCCGAAGCGAACCTTTCACCCTTTGTTTTCTCTTTGTGCCCATGTTTAGTCCAGGCCAAAATTGGTGGGAATACAGGGTCCCCAGGATACATCTGGGCCGCTTTAAGCTTCACTTCCCTGTAGTTCAAGCACAAGAAAGAAGAAGAAGAAGAAGAAGAAGAAGAAGAAGAAGCCTTGGGCCACTTTAAGCTTCACTTCCCTCTAGTTCAAGCAATAAAAAAGAGAAGAAAAAAAAACGCCCCGCGGCGGGGATTTTTCGGAGGTCTCCTTTGGAATTTTGGGACTGGAGGTTTCGCTTTGGCTTCGGATCCCAGGACCGGTTTCCCCCCCTCGGAGCTGCTGCCACACGGCCTGGAGGTCTTGGGCCGCTTCGCCCCGGCCGAGCTTCGAGCGAAGCTCGGCCGAAGGAGTGCGCTTTGGTTTGGTGGGGCGTCTCTGTTGATTTCCTTGCTGGATTGGTTTTTTGGTTTTCGCGCGGTGTTTCTTGGGTTTCGTTTTCTTGTCTTTGTGAAGTGGCATTTTTCCAAACAAAAATGCGGCGGACGGTCGACCTTTGTCAGTTTTGTGTGGAGGAAAGCTGTTACAGTGTCCTTGCGGCTTGAGCCAGTTGTGCTGCTTATCCGGAAGGAGCAGGAAACCACCGTGTCGATGCGTCAGTGGGTTATTCTGAATTTTGAATCATTCCCCCAACCGAACCAGCCAGGAAGGGTGAGGGCTTGACCGCTTGGAGGGACGAGGGCGGCCAGCTCTGCGGGGAAATCGCTGGCCAGCAGCTAGGCCCCTGCCAGGCGTTTGGGAGGGGGGGGATATGGTGGACACGGGTCTATTCTGCAACCTCTTTCGGGGTTTTGGGTTTAGGATCCTTGGCGGCAGAAACTGCTCTGAGTGTCCATGGCATGGGGGACCCCCCTTGCGACTCAGCCGCGAAAAGGGCGCACATTGTGCCCACTCGATAGGTTCGGGAACCGCCCGTCTTGGAGAAAGGCCTCGAAATAATTTGCGTGTGGAGCTCCCCCCCCCAAAAGAAAGCAGACAAGTTGTGCAGTCTTCGCCAGACCCCATGTTGGCAATCGGTTGGAGAGGGCACGGGCCATGGGTCAGCAGTGTGGTTTTTGCTTTCTGTGATGCCACCTCCCGACCCAAGGGGTAGCGAGTTTTTAGCCGCGGCGTCGCCGTCTACGCAATGCTGTTCTTGCAAATGACGACTACCTTTGGCTGCCCCACGCCAACCGCATCGCAGGCCCCCCCCCCCCATTTTCAGAAGTCATCTCCGCATCTCTGGGCTCCAAAACTCCGAGGCCCCCCTCTGACGTGCCTTCCCCCACGGCGCCTCTGGACACGCCAGGTGGTGGAGCCCACAGAGGTCCTGGTGCGCAGCTCCCTGGAGCTCCTCCCCACCTCCGAGTTGCCTGCGAGGGCCCCAGCACTGGGCTCTAGGGCTCGGGGGGCAAGGTGCAGGGTGGCTGCAACCCCAACAAATCCCCAACAGAGCAGCACGGGGCTTTGCATTGTCGTCGTTTTTTGGTGCTGGATTCGGCTTGTTTGCCCAAACCTTGGCCAATCCAAGCCCCGCAAATTAGGATTCTCCCTGCTTGCCCTTATTCCTGCAAGATTGTTGCGTTTCTAACCCAGAATGGGCGGCTGTCACGAATCACCCAACCTTGCTCACCCCAAACCGCCCCTCGTGGCATGAACGCCTGCAGTTGTTATTTTGCCGCACCAACTCTCCAGCGGACTTGGCGCTAGGAGCTGCGGTTCCTCTTGGGCAACTCCGCGCCCTCGCTGCCAGAGCTGCGCGCCGGAAGCGCCGGAAGCGCCAAGATGGAGGGCGCGGTAGAGGCCTTCAAGTCTCTTGGGCGGAGGGGGGGGTTAACACATGGGGAACCCGAAGCCTCCGGGGTTCGGGTAACCACTGCACCCAGATCGAAGGGGTATGCAAGAACTACAAAATCACTTAGAGGTGGTGCCATTGAAAGGGAAACCAAATTGAGAACCACCATGGGCAAGAGATGACATACGGATGGACCGTTTTCCTTCGGTTCACCAGCTCGCCATTGGAGCCGTGGGTGAGGAAATTGGTGAAGTGACTGACCAGTATGAAAGCCGTAGAAGATCAAGAGAACGTAGATTAGGACCTTGGGCACGTCTCTTGAAAGGACATCCCGTCTCTTGAGAGCACAAATGGTGTATGACTTTCACTCAAACGCAACTAAAACTCGTTACAATTATACAGATTTCATTTATGAATGAGATCTTGGTAAAAGACATGGCGCGGACCTTTTCTTCGGTGTTCCTTTCGCCTTTTAGAATTGTTATAGCGGCTGTTGTGTTGAATTCTAGTTTAGGTTTCCAAAAGGCAAGCCTTTGGTTGCAAGTGAGATTGAATGAAGCAGAGCCGGGTCCTAGCCCAACCAAGCTGGAGTCAGGGCCGTTTCCCCACCCTCACAAACCCATTCTATTTCTACTTTCTGAGAGCCCATTCCAAGAAGGCTCCTTCAGAAGCTCCGGGGAGCCTACTGCGAACACACGAGATCCTGCACCAGTTGGGGTCAATGAACTAATGGGTGCGGGCACAAAGCACCTACCCACTGGCAGCAACTTGTTGTTTTGATTTGTTTTCCTTTCTGAACAAATGCACGCCAACAGGGGAAAATTTGCTCTCATCATGTGTTTGTCCTGGCCCGACAAAGGCACTTTAACCCCTATCTCCCCCTACCTCCGCAGGTTTTGTTTGACTCCGACACCGGGCGCACCAACTTTTTGAGCCTCGGCTCGGAGATGATCCCGCCCCTCCGTCTGGACTTTGCGGCCTACGTGGCCAAAGGCGCAGTCTTGGGTCGCAGAGCGCCGTTGCCGTACACAAGACGGGGGTCAGCCCGAAGATATTTTTGCATCGCAATGGGAGAAGCCAACCAAAGCGTTTGGTGTTCTTTATGTTTCCATTCAAGCAACACCAGAAAAGCGTGTCTTGGTAGCATCTTTGGCCCCATTTTGGGGGTCCCCACCCATTTTTGAGACAAAGCCTCAGTGGTTTTTGAAAGGTGGTTCTGAGCATCACCGTTTCCTTCCTAAGCTGAATTTGACTTCTTTGGCAGATGTGTAATGGGGAGTCTGGTGCTCCCTCAGCAGGATCCCAACATGCCGTGAACATAGCCTTGAACTAAACCCGCGCCCTTTTCGGGCGTCCCGAGCAACCCCTCGAAGTGTTTCGACGATATCCATAAGGCCCCACTTTGAGGTCCGCCCGTTTTCCTCGATCTCAATGTTCCAGAAATCTGCTGCCAAGGAGTCCATTGCCTTGTGATTTAAACGCCCTTGCTTATGTTTTGGAGTGAAGAGGTTTCCCTTTTCTGTTTGCTTGAGCAAACCTTCCCAGCCCTGATCTTGCCTTTCAAAAGCCTGCACGTGATCGTGCGGAAGCACTAGCTGAATCAACCAAGTTTTTGCTGCTGGATGCCGAAGGACTTTTGAGGGCGTTTGTTTCCTTTTTGGTTTCCCCTTTGGCCAAGCCTGAGAAGGGTGCCCGCAAAAAGAGATGGCATTGTTGTTTTATATTTTTGCGTTTTTGAATCGACCATGTTTGGTGGTTTCTAAGGAGAGGCCAGCAGGAAAGCCATCAGTTTGGGTGTTTGTTTCTTTTTTTAAGAAACTCCCCGCGTGTCACGCGCTTGACCCTTCGTCGGTCGGCAGGCGCTTCGGCGGCCCAAGCGGCCGAGCAGCTCACAGCGGCGGCCCAAACGCAGCTGGCGAAGCGCCCAAGCGCGGCGGTGCGGTGCTACCTGCCTGAGGCGAAGGGCACTCACTCGGCGGCCCTAAACTTGACTTCCATCAGAATCAGATCTGCTTTGCTGGCCCTGAAAGTGGACGCCTGAGTGAAGTTGGAAATTCGAAGTGTAAAAGGCTAGGTGACCAAGCTGATGGTTTCCTTGCGGTTCAGAAGTCAACCATCAACTTGTGTGGAAACCATCAACCGCTTCAAGACACCCATGACGATGAGCGTCACTCGCGAGACCTTGGGCCATGCAGTGCTGCTGGGCGCTACGGAGGACCCACTGCCAGAGCCTTAGAGGCAGTGGTGGCACGGGAGCACGAGCGAAGGGGTTTAGATCGCCAGGATTTTCCGATTCCCTGGGAAAACAATTTTCTTTGGGGACTATGCTTTTCTGGTTGTGGGAAGGGCCACTTGCTGAGATGCCAGGCAAATGTTCTTTGAAGTGAACAGGTCCCTGACATTGCCCACGTTACGTCCGGGTGAAAGTAGATGGCACAATTCCCTTGTGGGCAAGTAGTAGGGATGACTAAATCAACATGAAGCATTTTGCAATCTACTTCCTGCTGCAAGTGGATCAACTGTGGGACCTTGCATGGCATCATGATGCATTCTAAGGTTTGCAACATGCCAGAATCTATCAGTGTCAGGCTCACTTCGGGGCAGAAGCCGAGGTAGATTTGGGTGATTGACAAAATGAGTTTGCTTGAAAATAGGGCAACCCCTCAAGATTTGTTTTTTCCCAGTGGTTTCCTTAAAGCACACGCCAGTACAGTGGAGCAGCACTCCTGAAGGTTTGCAGTGAATTTCATGCTAGGGCGTTCGATTCGAAACTTAGATTGGCCCACTCACATGATTGATTGCGGAACGCTCAAGTATTTTTTTTAGAGCTTTTCAAGATTCTAGAGCCTTTCAAGACTCTTTTCCTTTTGGGGTATTCATTTGTTCTTCTCAGCAAGAAGTGCTTTTCTATGCTGATTATTGGTGTGCGCAGCCCCGTTTCCCACGGATTCCCGTCCGGTTCCGGGGCTGCTCCATAGTTGGATCTCAAACTGGGACCCTTTTCGACGAAAACGTGTCTTGTCTCCCGTTTTCCGTTTTGCCAACTCAACGAGCAGTGGGGGTTTTCCACCCCGCCTTTCGTTCCCTTGCCAAGCTCCAACGGTCCGACGGCGGGTGGAAAGCGACCTCCTAGGTGGCGGAAGGAGCTGCACCGCCTGCTGCGGCTCCCGGAGGAGCCGCTGCTACTGCCGGGGGCCGCCCTACCGCTGCCCGGCCAGGCCGGGGCCTTTCGCCTTTATTTTGGGGCGGGCGAAAGGCGGAAGCAGGTGGAGTTTGTTCAAGGATTCGCAGCAATGCGTGGCTTTCCACCAATTTGAGCGAAGTGTGTTCTTCAGGGGGGTGGTTGATTCAGGAAAAAAGGAACAGTTTTGGTGGCGGTTGAACCAAACCAAGGTTTGGGCTGCCTTGGTTATTCGATCAAAGATTCAACGGTTGGCCTTGCAAGTTCAAAAGGCTTTCCCTTAAATTGTGTGTGGGTGGGAAATCTAGTGACCCCTGGCTGACAAGGTGGTGCTGGATGATTGGTTGGGTGTCGAACGCAGGATGTTGTCGCGTGCCCGGCTTAGGGCGCACTTGCTGGACACCATTGACATCCATGGATCACCAAGCAAAAAAGCGGAAGAAGCAAGGCTTCTGTTGTCTTATCTACGTGGTGTTTTCTTTATCCGTGTTTGTAGGGGGCACATCTGCAATGTGCCTTGGGAGCGCTACGCGCCATACTATATCCATATCGATCACCACACTGGGGCAAGCCCAGGTTTCTGGGAGAGCTGCTTATCTTTCCATGCTGGTCTTGAAGCCAGCGCCGAAATGGGAAACCAAATCCAATCCCCATATCAGTCCTGCGCTTCGCGTCCTCCAGGATATCAAAAGTAGGGTTGGGTAACTTCCTTTTGACACACCTTCAAACATCTATTGTTGAACCCACCTCATTTTGGTCCCCCTTCATTGCAGAGAGGGCCGGCCGGCCCTGGCCCGGTCTTGCCCCAGGCGCACCCATGCGCCACCGGCAAGCCGACCAACCCCCACAGCTCCTGCGGCCCGCAGCCGGGCTGGTGGAAAGGCTCGCAGGACACCACAGGCCGCGCCTTCGTGCGGGGCCTCTACGAGTACAACCACTACATGCAGGACTTTCGACCGGCAAGTCCTTGCCGCCGGGGGGGCTTTCTTGTGAAGGCACGACACGGACTTTGGGCCTGTTGGGCTTGGGGGAGGTTGGTTCATTTCTATTTAAGCTCCAGGTGCACAAAAGGTACATGACCATTTGTCAAATTGTACTTTCCAGAAACAAATCCAGGGTACCCTGCGGCCCTTAGATGCTGTGTTTTTCCAGGTTCTATTTCTAGGCCTATGATTTGGACACTTTCCAGGGCTTGCCAATGGCATTCTCTTCTTGTTTGGTTCCCCAGAAATGGCCCGCCACAAAAATAATTTGCAACTGGGGCTGATGTTTAGGCAAGTCCCTCAATACTCATATGGGTATCATCATTTAATTTGAATATCCAGAAAAGGACGCCCGTGTCCAAAAGTATTCCCCTGCAAATCAACAGGATGACAATAAGGGACGGTATTCCGAGTATTCCCCTCCAAAAGAATTCTCTGCAATGATGTACCCTTTGAATCATGACACGCAATGATGAAAAGAACCATTCATCTCCAAAAGAAAGCCTAGATACAGGAATTTGCCACCTCCGAAAAACGATATGGGTTGATCAAATTTGACTCAACATAACCTGCAAATTAACGGCTGCAACTCCCAGCAGCGGATGCCAGAAGAACCGGGAGGACAGTTTCGACGACAACGGCTGGGGCTGTGCCTACCGGTCCCTGCAGACCTGCGTGAGCTGGTACCGGTTGCAGCACTACAGCGGGGAGGTCGGCCAAATGGCTGGATGGGATTTGTTTCGCAGTCTCCTTACGGTGCATATAGGACAGAAGTAGCTTTTCAGTACCCCAGATGGGACCCTGGAAGGCTGGTTTGGAGGTGTTTTGGTGGTGGTTTCCCGTCACCAAGCCACTAGCTAAGCCAAAGGTTGTAGCAGGCTGTTTGAGGGAAGATCCTGTATGTGGGAAGGTAAAGTTTAAAGAGGATGGCTAAACCAAATTTGGGTAATTGTGCCATCTACTTTCACCACTGTACCGGCAAGGTTCCCTACAGTTGGATTGCTGTGCTCCAGTGAAACCTGCCAACCCTCGGGCAAAGTGCCCTGGGCATCTGCAGATGAGACTTTCGATGGCACGAGAGAGAGGGAGAGAGGAACCCTCCCGAATCTGCCCCACCCAACCTGGACATCCGTTGTTTTCTGGGCGTACATCCGCCCCCAATGCAACAGGGAGCCCCCTTTGGCTTCATTCCAAAGACAAACCAAAGGAACTTGTCGCCAAATGTTGAGACCTGGATCCCACGTGCGTGCGGGCTCATTCTTGACTTTTTGGGGGACCCCCACAAAAAGGTTTGCCCTCGACTCAACAGACAAGGATTCGAGCGGCATCGCATAGGCGGTGCCCAGCATCCCGGAGATCCAACGACTGCTGAAGCGCATCGACGAGGCGCACAAAGACCTGGAGGTGGGCAGCAAGAAGTGGCGCCTCGGCACAGGAATTTCGCTTCTTTTTTTTTTTGGGGGGGGGGACCCCCAACGTTTCCCTTTTAAAACCAGCCAAGAAGGGTACCCTCAAAAAAAGAAACCCCCAGCTGGAGAATTTGCAAACGTGGAATCTGAGGGGTGGCCTTGTTTCACCCTTGTCGCGTTCCCATGTTCAGCCTTCGGGTGGAAGCTTTCAGTCAAGTCCAAATTCAGCTCTTGGGTGTCCATTGGATTCCTTTTTTCGGTTGCTCGAAAGGCCAGCTGCTCTTAGGGATTCCTCTAAGTCAGCCAGAGGTGAGTTCGAACTGGCTCCAATGTATCCGCTTCTCTGGCCCCGACTTCCGGCCCAGCTTGATGGCAGGATCGGAACCGTGGAGGGCATGTACCTGCTGCAGGAGTACCTCAAGGCCAAGCGCGCAGAACTCAAGCCGAAGCTTCGGGAGTCCAAGGAATGCAAACCACTCCCGTCAGGGACATATCCCAGGCCAGTTTTCTTTCAAGTCCATCTTAGTGGTAGACAAAAGCTTGGTTCCCTTTTTTGCGGTTCCACTCGGTGAGAGAATGGGACGACCTGTTCTGTGGTTGCCTCATTCCCCATGTTGTTTTTAGCCCTTCGAACATCAGTCGTTGGAAAGGGGAGTTTTTGTTGGGGGGGGGGCAGGAGTGAGGACAACCCAAAGTTCGTTTATTTGCCCACAAACAAGATCAAACCGGGCATGGGTCCCCTCAAGCCCCCAACCAATGGCTCGGTCTTGGATGTCGTAAAGAAACGCCTTGGGCTATTTTAAAGTGAGCCAGGCGAGTGACGACGTTGCTAGCCAATTGGTGCTGGTTTTGTTTGCATTACATTCCTGAACAGCATGGCTCCCCTTTTGTGTGTTTTGATTGATCGGGATTGGTTTATGTTTTATGCTTGGTATGGTTTGCTGCTGCTTACTCATGGCTTCCCGTAGGTGGACTGCAAGATGATGTACTGCCAAGACGCAGCTGACATGGCCAGTCAGGCCCCGCAGATGCTCCAGCACCTGAAGCTCTGACCAGCAAAAGCTCGGAGGCTGATGGTTTGCTGCGTAAAAGTCCATGGCCTTTTCAGTATTGAGGCCCTCACGGTCTTGTTTATTTCTTCACGTTTCTTTTGTTTTGGAGTTGCTTATTGGGCTCCGGGTTCATCTTCAGGGCAACTGTCGAAAGTAGGAGCCACAGCATGCATTTGGGGCGATCTGGGGAAGCTTTTCCACATGGCTTCTTTTGCGAGTTTGCTTTTTGAGCGTACCTTACCCGCTATTTGGTTGGTGTTTTGGGGTTTCTCCATTTGACACATACCCTTTTGGCTCCCAGGAAAACGGAAGGCACGCCCATCATGATGGGCGCCGGGATGTATGCCTACACCCTGGTGGGCCTGTGCTTTGACTCCGCCTCTGGTGAGGCCGGGGAAGAGGCATATCTGTTGACGGAACTGCATCTATGTTGGTGAATTCGGTTAATTCTGTGTCACCATTGGTGAAGAGCCCAATTTCATTGGATGTTCAACCTTGGCCTTGGTTGGGCTGGAAGGCCGTGGGGTCATTTGCGTACGTGTCTGGTGTTATGTGCCACGTGTCGCTGCAAGCTGAGCGGGCCGCTCGATTTTCTCGATGCGTGTGTGTTTTCATCTTTTGGTGGGCGAGTGACATCATGTGGGCTCCCCTTTGCACGGGGGACATTGCAGGAAACATGCGCATAACTGTCCTAACCTATACCTTTTGGAAAATCAATTAATTTGTCAGAATTAGATTGTCCGCTCACCTGTTGCCTACAATGCCTGAGCAAAGGTGTTCTGTGGGAGGTCTTTTTCGCACTCTGTATTTCCTGGTGACCCTTCATCGAGCCAATGAATGCATCCAGAGAGCAGATATCCTTTGGTTCACAGCCAGTGGGTGTCCTTCTGGGAAATGAACTCCGCCAACTTCAGTTTGGTTTATTTTTTGGATTCCGAGACAAATCCGTCTTGTTCTCCAGAAGGACGCCCGGTTTATTTGGAGGACAAGAGCCCCAGATAGATGTAAGCCCCCTTGGTTTCCAGAGGTGGGCGGCCAAGTTACCCACGCTGGCGATAGATGCTTCCCCTGAGTACCGGGCAAGGAGTCGTATTCCTTTTCGCCCAGGTCGCCTACCTGATCGTGGACCCCCACTACACCGGCCAGGACGATCTCAAGCCCATTCTGCAGAGCCTCGGCGCTTTCGGGGCCGCAGGTCGTTCTACTGGGCCCCAACTTCCGGTTCTGGAATCCTCATTGCTGGTTCTTGGGAGTGGAACATGGCAAAAAGCAGCGACACAACATCACAACATGGACTTGCGACATGGTGATGACTTCCTTGGATGATTCTTTTTTGTCCGGGTGAATCAGCCCACCCTTACCGTCTTTCAGGCACCCTGAATTGGTGGCTTGGATTGGTGGTTTGGGGATTCGGTCGGATTTGAACCGCCTGTGGGTTTGAAACCACACGCACCTCCAATTCACCGATTCAAGTCGGAAGCTGGAGATATTCTCCGAGGAAGGGCTGGGTGGGGTGGAAGAACTTGGAGTTCTTCGAGAAGAGCACGGAGGGCAGCTTCATCAACTGCTGCCTTCCGCTGGTCCCTCGGGGCCCCGGCTGCCTCTGAGAGCCTTTCGAAACCGACCGGGCGGATGGAGAAAACACGGGCGGGGGGTTTAGTTCAGCGGGGGGGGGGGGCGTCAGAGAGGTGATTTTCCATCGGAGGTGGGGGTGGGGGGATGGTCTTGGAATTCAGGGAGCGCTTCTCAAGTGGTGGGTTTTCCTTCTGGGCGCTGTGCCCCTACTGCGGGTGTGCAATGGAATCCGCCAGGAGCTGCTGGTGGTCCGAGCCGCCTGGGGCGCTTGGGAGACCGCCCTGGCGCTTCTCAAGTCGGCGCGCCCGGCGCCCAGCCCGCTCAGCCCATCGCCATGGCGTTAGGCGGAGCCCACGCTCCAAAGGACTGAGGGAGCCCTGCCCAAAGCAAATGAGGTTTGCCTCCTTTGAGCACCCAGCGCGCCACGAATCATACCCGCCCTGCGCGCACACGGATCGGAGTTTCAAGGGAAGGGGGCTTCACTTTCAACCAACCCAAAACAAATGTCCAAACTCCAAAAAACACTGACATCCACCTCCAAAAGTGGCAGATTTCATGGAACCCACCTGCAGGGGAATTCCAGTGACCTTTGTTCGCTTGCCAACCAGCTTGGTCCCCTTGGTGGTGCTGACCCTGAAGTATATGAGATGGAATTGTCTACCCCCAAGTGAACTTAGATCTCAGTTGGACACAGGCGCACTTGCTACTTTTTGCCTCCAGTCTTTTTGGCTCTTCGCCTGGAGCCTCACATTCATCCTTTGGGCCAGCATCAGTGAGCTTCCATCTGGTGGGCGGCTGATGTTCAAGAGGCAATCTCAGGAGTCCTGTTGAACTTTCGCATCATGCCTTATACCGACACTCTTGAGTTTGCCTTGCCGGGAAAACGCATGAGGCATTCCAATTGGAGTTGAGGGGTAGGATGGGCGGGGAAGGGGAGAACCCCAGAGACAAGCCCTCGATGGTGCTGCTTGCATGTTCCGAGGCAAGGGGGCGCTAGAAGTTGATGCCGCCACCTACACAGTTGTCCAGCATGCGTGCGGGCCTGAGGTGATGTGAGCCATTCACACGGAAGTTTCATGCATTTGAGCACGAGCTAGGCTTGCAAGGACGACATTCCTTGGGCTCGCGCTTTTGGCTGCTTTCAAGCCCCGACTTTGGCCCATTGCTTCGCCATGGCGACCTTTGTGGCCGTTGCTGCGCCGGGCTCCGGCCCTGCCTTGCAGGCCCACGCCCGCGCCGCGGTCCCCCAGCTGCAAGCCAGGGCTGCGCCCGGCGTCTCCGGCACCAGCGTCGGCGTTTGCGGCTCGGCAGCCGCAGTGGCGGTGGCAGCGGCGGCACGGGGGCGCGCCCGGAAGAGCGCACGCAACGACCGGGTTTCTCAATGCGGCTGCATTTTGAGGGATTCTCAAAAGTTTGGTTGGGTCCCGGTGGTTTCCCTTTTTTGTAACCACCCCTTTGGGCAGGCGCATCTTGTGAAACCAAGTCCAGCTACCTGGTATCATACTCAGACTCACGTTTCGGGAATGACAGGCATAAAAGGAAAAGGCACAGCCGGCCTATCTCCCAACCTGAGGGATCTTCCCGCGAGGAGCGCCTGGCGCGGCGCGTCACCGTGGTCTCGGAGGCGGGCACGCAGGCGGGGGAGCGGCCGAAGGAGGGCCGGAAGCTGAAAGTGGTGGTGGCCGGCGGTGGCGTGGGGGGCCTCACCTGCGCCCTGGCCTTGCTCAAGAAGGGCATGGACGTCAAGGCGCGGGAAAAACGGGTGCGGTGGATCTGAACAGCGAGCTGAGTGTGGAAATCGGCTTTTGGGTTGCCTCTTTCTGTGAGTGGCCAAGGGAGTCCCCAAAAATGGCCCAACATGGCTGGTTTCCTCTTGGCTTCCCTTTTAAACCAACCAAAATAGGCTTCACCAACAAAAACAGATTGATCTTAGGACAAACTTCTGCCAAACCAGGGGAATCCGCTTCTAAGTGACAATCTAGTCATGGACATCAACCACTTCTGCATCACAACGCTATTTCCCACAACCACGCGCTTTTCACTGCTTTTCACGCCCCAACAGAACATATGTATGTTTAGAGGCAGCCAAACTAGTTCCGTCCCCCACAAACGACCCCCAAACGAACGACGCCTCCTAGGTCTACGAGAAGACCGGCAAGTTCGCGCGCTTCGGGGGCCCCATCCAGTTCGCCAGCAACGCCACCTCGACGCTCAAGGCCATCGACGAGAGGCTCTTCGAGCGGATCATGGGGAAGTTCACCGTCACCGCCACGCGCCGCTGCGGAATCAAGGATGGGCTGAGGCGGGCCTCCTGAAAGTTGGGGACTGTGTGTGTGTGTTTTTGAGGGGTGCCCGTTTAGGGGACATTATTTAGGCGCATTACCCGTATTTCGCCTTATTGGCGAACTTCAGCATGAGCGCTCGCATTTCGCTGCGAAACGAATTTCAGGAACCCTGTGAGGTCCAACGGCGACTTCCGCATGACCGACGTCTTTGACCCCTCGTACTTTGTGAATCCGGACGCGCCTGCAGATTGGTTCATCTCCTTTCCGCTGAAAGAGTGCGCGGATCTGTTCCTCGCACTTACCTTGTAACTTTCGTTGTGGTTCCAAAAGGTGAGCCTCAACCTTGTATCCTCTCCCGTATGAAGCCAGATTGGATCTAGCCGTTGGCCTCTAGGAGCCTTGTGGTGGGTCTCGTGTTGGTGCGACTTCCTTTTTTTTTTGGGGGGGTTGTGCCCTTCAATAGCAGTCAAAATGGGGCATTCAGGGGTCGGAACCAAGTTCGCGGTTGGACATATATGAGGTTGTTGTTGTTTGTTTGTTTGTTTGTCTGTCTGTCTGTCTGTCTGTCTGTCTGTCTGTCTGTCTGTCTGTCTGTTTGTTTGTTGTGGTTGTGGTTGTGGTTGTGGTTGTGGTTGTGGTTGTGGTTGTGGTTGTGGTTGTGGTTGTGGTTGTGGTTGTGGTTGTGGTTGTGGTTGTGGTTGTGGTTGTGGTTGTGGTTGTGGTTGTGGTTGTGGTTGTGGTTGTGGTTGTGGTTGTGGTTGTTGTTGTTGTTGTTGTTGTTGTTGTTGTTGTTGTTGTTGTTGTTGTTGTTGTTGTTGTTGTTGTTGTTGTTGTTGTTGTTGTTGTTGTTGTTGTTGTTGTTGTTGTTGTTGTTGTTGTTGTTGTTGTTGTTGTTGTTGTTGTTGTTGTTGTTGTTGTTGTTGTTGTTGTTGTTGTTGTTGTTGTTGTTGTTGTTGTTGTTGTTGTTGTTGTTGTTGTTGTTGTTGTTGTTGTTGTTGTTGTTGTTGTTGTTGTTGTTGTTGTTGTTGGTTGTTGTTGTTTGTTGTTGGTTGTTGGTTGTTGGTTGTTGGTTGTTGGTTGTTGGTTGTTGGTTGTTGGTTGTTGGTTGTTGGTTGTTGGTTGTTGGTTGTTGGTTGTTGGTTGTTGGTTGTTGGTTGTTGGTTGTTGTTGTTGTTGTTGGTTGTTGGTTGTTGGTTGTTGGTTGTTGGTTGTTGGTTGTTGGTTGTTGGTTGTTGGTTGTTGGTTGTTGGTTGTTGGTTGTTGGTTGTTGGTTGTTGGTTGTTGTTGTTTGTTGGTTGTTGGTTGTTGGTTGTTGGTTGTTGGTTGTTGGTTGTTGGTTGTTGGTTGTTGGTTGTTGGTTGTTGGTTGTTGGTTGTTGGTTGTTGGTTGTTGGTTGTTGGTTGTTGGTTGTTGGTTGTTGGTTGTTGGTTGTTGGTTGTTGGTTGTTGGTTGTTGGTTGTTGGTTGTTGTTGTTGTTGTTGTTGTTGTTGTGGTTGTTGGTTGTTGGTTGTTGGTTGTTGGTTGTTGGTTGTTGGTTGTTGGTTGTTGGTTGTTGGTTGTTGGTTGTTGGTTGTTGGTTGTTGGTTGTTGGTTGTTGGTTGTTGGTTGTTGGTTGTTGGTTGTTGGTTGTTGGTTGTTGGTTGTTGGTTGTTGGTTGTTGGTTGTTGGTTGTTGGTTGTTGGTTGTTGGTTGTTGGTTGTTGGTTGTTGGTTGTTGGTTGTTGGTTGTTGGTTGTTGGTTGTTGTTGTTGTTGTTGTTGTTGTTGTTGTTGTTGTTGTTGTTGTTGTTGTTGTTGTTGTTGTTGTTGTTGTTGTTGTTGTTGTTGTTTTCTCTGGGGGCTGGCTTGTGTTGGCTTTTGCAGCTTTTGCTCTTCGTTTTTTTTTGTGGCTGCACAAATGCACGAGTCTTGAATTTTAAGTCTTTGGGCAAGGTTCAACTTGCCGTACACCGGAGTGATCAACCGCCCGGACCTGCAAGACATTTTGTTGGACGAGTGCCTGGCGCGACAGGAGGACTTCATTGTGAATGGCGTGTCGGTCACGGGCTACGAAGCTCCGCTGCAGTCGGTCGTCGGCGCATGTTGGCTTTGGCTGGTCCTCTGTGCGGGTTCCCACGGACACCTCTGGGTGCATGAATCCGTGAGCATCATTTTGGTTCGCGAAGCTCGGGTGGCCTGGGTGATCTATGGTGTTTCCGGCGCTTGGCACCTGAGAACCTTTGGGTTGAGTGGGCAAACTGAGGAGAACCACGACAAGGGCGTCACTGTGAAGCTCTCGGACGGCTCCACTGAGGAGGCGAACTGGACCCAATGGGGCGAACAGGGGAGGGGCGGCCATCACAGATAAAGCCACCCTGTGGCCTGACAGACTTGGTCCTTGGTGCCGAGGCCACTTCAAAGTGAGAAAGTACTCGACCATATTGGTACCACACCGGTGGTTTTCCACCATGGGGGGCGGAAAACTGCCAGGGGGTTTGGTAGCGGAAACCACTCACTTCCCCGTGTTCTGGCCCTTTAGCTTGAGAGGAGTTCATTGTCGTCGTACACATACGGTCCGGACTTTGCGACCAATCCCCTCAGACAGTGAGAACATGATGGCGGCTCTTGTAACACACTGGCTTGATCTGCAACATGTGTTTGCACAGGTGGTTGGCCCAAGCCTGCTGACTACACCAGTTCCCAGATGAATGTAAAAGGAACCATTGTGTTGCACCCAAGAAGCTTTCTCAAGATGGTTCTTTTTTGGTGTGTGGGTGTGTTTGTCTGTTTTGTTATTTGTTGGTGGGTTGTGTTGTGTTTTCTGCTTGTTTTTGCGATTTATTGTTTTTGTGCTGGGTTCAGGTTCCGCTTAATTGGAAGTTTGGGTTGGTGGTTTGGAGATTTGAACCCCTGGTTCTTCTAGAGCGTTAAGAATCCCAACCCTGAACCACCAATCCAAAGCACCAAATAGGGGGACGCGGATGGGTTGTGATTTGTTGTGCCTTTTTTTGGGCTCAGTGGGGCTGCATGAAGTCCACCCGTTTTCGGGATGTATGTAAGCCGGTAAGTTGTGGCTTTGTGGTGGCAAAGGTGGCTGGCTGAAAGAAGGCCTAGCACAGCCAAGGCCGGGAAGCGTTTGAATTGGAGCAAAGAGGCTCATTGTGTTTCCCAGCTTTGCAATCTTCTAATACAACTCTTTCTTGGAGTGTTTTTTTTTTTTGGGGGGGGGGTATGTGAATAGAACCAGTGACCCTCCTGCCTGAAGGTCGGCAGAGCTTCGGAAATCCGGCATCGCCACCCCTCCCCCAAAAAAAACAAAACAAACATCGCACGGCACTTAGGCCGACATCCTGGTGGGCGCCGATGGCATTTGGTCCGCAGTGCGGTCGCAGATGTACAAGGAGGGTCCTGTGAAGGCGCCGTCCAAGGACCGGAGGGAAAGCAAAAAAGAAAGAATTGAAAGAAAGAAAGAAAGAAAGAAAGAAAGAAAGAAAGAAAGAAAGGTTTTGGGAGTTTTTTCCAGAAATTTGAGGAGGTCATGTGTGGCACCGGAAGGTTGCACCAGTTTCAGGGGCTGAGTAAAACGAGCTGGGTAGGATCCCCTTTTCCGGGTGGCCTGCGGATCAGTGCTGGAGGCTACGCCCGGAGGAAAAATCTTTGCCGCTTCTTTTAGTATCCATTGGGGAAGTTTAAATTTAACACGGGCTTGTGGGGCAGACCGGCTCGTGTGACACACGCGCTGCCACATTGCCGCTTTGAGCCAAAATGAAGACTTGAGTCTTTGGAGGTCAACCAAGGACGGTCCAGTCAAAGCTAGAAGCCGTTTTTGTTCCTTCAACCAGTAGTTGGCTGCCGGTAGACCGGACAATCACACGGTCACTTCTTATTGAATTCGAAGACAAATTAATTGGGCGCAACGGCAGTGTCGCACGAACACGAACAAGACACGAAAAAAAATGGTTTGAAGAGGGCATAGGAGACTCAATGTGACAATGCGTTTTGGGGTCCATTCTTGCCTCCCGGGGCCCCAACGAACGTATGCCGTCCCGTTGTGGCTTGGCCCCGTCCTGGCTTGCTGATGCGAGGACGGGAAGTCTATCCAGGGGTGCCGCTACTCGGGCTACACGGTCTTTGCCGGAGAGGCGGTCATGGAGGCATGGTGTGAGCATGGGCGGAAGTGGGTGGGTGAGCGTGCAACTTCAAAACAGCGGGGCCCGCTGCCCTTGTTGTGGAATCACGTCTACGGCTGATGTGACGGCTGGCTCCCAAAAAGTGTTCACACTTGTTGGGTTCCTTTGCGGTTTCCCTGAACACCACCTCCAAAAGAGCCCACCAGTTCTTTCACCTTTTCAAGTGAGCCAGAACCAACATGTGGGCGGATGAAGCTTGGGTGGCAATCCCATTCACGATGGGCGTGGGCAGCTTTCCGCCCTTTAGAGTGCTTCGCCCATCTTCGGCTTTGATGGTTTTGACACGTTCCGTGGCTCATTGGGTGCCCCAGCTTGGTCAGCCGCTAGTTGCCGGACTACTACGAGTGCGGCTACAAGGTCTACATCGGCCCTCAGAGGCCCGAGGGCGGCCTCGGGGTGCGGATTGTGACTTGGGGTGCTAGCCGTGTGCAGATGCATACTGAAACCAAAAAGGGTCCTCAAAAGACGACTTCTCCAGACATATTGCATGCAAATCTGCGGGAGTGAATTGCACACTGAGGAAAACAGCAAGGGGATAGATGGTTCACGAGTTCAGCCTCACTAGCAAGCTTATAGGATACAGTACCTCGCCCATGGAGGATCCCCCGTATTGCCAGGGGGGTCCTTTTGCAGAACAAAAAAGTACCTGAGGTGGTGCAGAGACCTTTCGCAGGTCCGTTTCTTTACTTAGCCCCGGACAACAGCAAAAAAACGGCGCCGGAACCGATGGGCTGTTCATCAGAGGTTTGGCCTTGTGTATGTCCGATTCAACGATCCAAAGGGTGGAGTCTGGAGCTCGCAAGGTACGAGCTAAACGCCATGAATGTCCCTGACGGATTTGAAAGAAAATCGAGCTGGTGATATCAAATGTCTTCCCACAGAGACCATGAGACCTACATGTGACCATCAGCCCCAAGGGTTCCAAACCCTCCCCTTGCGGAACACAAGCTGGAAAGTAAACCAACAGAATTAACGAAACACGTCCGCATGATATTCCCATGATATATGCCCATGAGACATGCAAACAACCAACCCACCGCAAACGCCCGCGCCTCGCACCAGGTACTTTGTGACCTCGGATGTGGGGGACGGGAGGATCCAGTGGTACGCCTTCCTGGCGCTCCCGCCAGGCACGCGCAAGGCGCAGCTTCGGATCCGAATCCGGCTGGCTTTGAGATGTATCCTTTGAGGAACCCTGCCGCTGCAGAGAAAAAGGGAGCCTCAAGAAACATCAAGTTTGTATAGGAGGGTCCTTTCAAAAGTGGACCTCCATTCTGGGTTCCATGTTGATTTGGAGGGGAGGGAATTTATGCGGGAATAGGGGACTCGGTCTCCGTCCATGAAAGGAAGCCCCTTGATGTCTCAGTTCTTCATGGTTTCCCTGGGGCCTCTCATGATTCCAAGATGATGGCCAAACCTTCGGTCAGGTTGGTCAATCCTTCGGTCAGGTTTTGCCAACCTTTCCAACCTTGCTGGTTTGGATCGATCCAGTTGGCTGGAAAGTGTTTCGTGAATGGTTGGGGACAAAACATGCGTGTTTGCTTGTTGGCTTGTTTGCTTGCTTGCTTGCTTGCTTGTTTGCTTGCTTGTTATTTGTATTGTCATTGTGTTGTTTTGTTGTTTTGCTTTTGGGCGGATGCTGTGGGTTTGTGTATGGGGTGCTAGGGCACCAGGGGTGCTAAGGCCTCCCATTGACAGGGGGTCCTTGAATTTAGGGGTAACACACACACACACACACCACCCAGTAGTCCTATCCGGGGTCGACATGGCCTTGTGCTGCGTGCTCCAAAACTACTCTTTGAGTTTTTGGAAGAAGGTGAAGACGGGACGGTGCCCTCACATCAGAGGTTAACAAGTGCAGAGAGCAACAACCAAACACTGATTGGGAGCCAAACAGCGGCCACTTCCAACCACCTTGCTGGAGAGGGCCGCAATGAGCGTTGGTACCTCGAAACCAGAAGGTCTATTGAGAGTAATTAAAGGGATCCAGGGGCGGATTCGGCTAAACCTGCACTTTAGCAAAACCTGCACTTTAGCACATCCATTATGCAGCAAAGGTGGGAAACCATGGCCCCATCAGGCGGGAGACACCTGGTCCGGTGACACCGGCAACGCGAAGGAGGGCGCAGACGTGATCAGCTACCTCAAGGGTCTGCATGAAGGCGCGGAAGAACTTGACAGGAGGCCACCTCTTGAACCAAGAAGAGGTTCCTGGTTTGGACCAGTTCTTCCCGAAGGGAGCTAGGGTCGAGGAACCGAACAGGGGGTACTGTTACGACAAAGGTCGCGAGCGCGCACATGGGCGGTTTCCCAGCACCAGAAGAGGGCATTGAACTGGCCCGCGTTGCATTTCCTGGCAAGAAAAAGCAATACAAGGGCTTCAAGGGATGCAAGTTTCGTGAGCTAGGTCCTGTGCCTTCAGTTTCGAATGGCTGTCACTTGCGTGTTGTTGTGTTCATTTTTTATGGCCAGGGATCAACATTCTTACATGGAGGGCGAAGGAGCTCGGTGTGGATCGGTTTGCGGCTTCCCACCCCGGGAGCACCTCGAAACTTGGCTCCAAACGCCGCATCTCCTGGGCGCCTTAGGCTGGAGCAGCGAGGTGTTCCAAGTGCTGGACAGCACTCCCGCAGAGTCCGTGGAGCAGCCAGGGGCCCTGGCGCACTTGATCCGATGCCCTAACCGGGGCGCAGGGCGACCCCCCCTTGTTCCCCGGTAGAGGGGCTTTCCCAAGCACTTAAACTTGGCCAACTTTTTGTTTATATTCTTTTGCGTTCCATTTTGCTAGCATCTGGCATTGCAGTTTCAAGGCCGTTTGAAGGGGTTTTTCCTTTTGCGGGTGCGATGTTTGAGCGGGAATATGGCGACCCCAGTGGGCGTCAGTGCGGAAAATGGGCTCTTAGTTTTCCCGCCTGTTTCTTTTCGCCTTGGCCAGCAATGTGTTCTACATTGCTTGAGGGCCCCAAATCACTGCTTCAACAGTCCCTGAGCAACCTCGTCAATTTGTCTTATTTTTTCCCTGGCGGTTTGGTGCACCCTGCGAACCGTCCCAGGCGCGACCTCTACGACCGCTGGCCGGAGTTCTTCCGGTCCTGGGCCGACGGCGCCTCGGACTGGAATTGACATGCTTGGATCCACTCCAGGTGGTTGGTTTTTTTTTTGGTCTCCCTGCACAGGCGTATGACCGCTACCTGCTTCACAATGGTATATCAGATGTTTCCCGGTGGCCGCAGTGGTTGCATGTCAATGCCCCTTTTGCCCTTGCGCGCAGTCACAAGTGGCGCTGGTGATTTAGCCCTTCGGGGGACTCTTAGAGCAGCCTCAAATCTCAAATGGTTGGGCAGAGCAAGGGCTGAAAGATTCAGCCCGGCTCCGTGCAAAAGCCGCGAGTTTTTCTCTGGCCGTTTGAGTCTCTTGCCCTGCTTCTCTCTTCCAGCCGTTTGGACTTAGATGTCGTTGTGACTTCTTGCATGTCGCATCAAAAGGCCTGCTTGTTTGGTGTCAAAGCTGAGTGCCCAAGCCGAAGGTAAGCGACAACGGAACTTGGAATCGATTGGCAGGGTCAGGGATTCAATCGGAACTTGTTGTAAACATCCCGGGAGAATGCCCTCCAGGGCCTCAAATTGCCAGATGACTCCCTGAGAGGATGTGGATTGAAATGTGATGGGCCCCTTTGAAGAGACTTTCCTTCAGGTTCCCGAAGAGGATCTCAATAGGTAAACCCTGATGCCATTTGTATCAAGTTGTGTTTCTTTTCCTTGCCCCAAGAGGTCCTGGACTTTGATCATTTTGGGGAAGGCCAGAGCCGATAACCTGAGGTGGGACTTCCTTTGGCCGCTTCACTCAACCGGGTTTCAAACGTGAGGCAACGTCGTGCTGTTGGGCGACGCGGTGCACCCCATGATGCCGAACCTGGGCCAGGGCGGCTGCCAGGCGAGGCAACTCAGCACGTGTGCTTACATGGGTATGTCACTCAAAATCGGGGACCCCACCCTCCCACAAACACAGGGGGGTCTTTTTTTCCTTTATTTTTTCCGGTTTCTCCGCTTTCAACCATTCCTCCTACGTGGAATCTGACTGAGGGGTCCTGGGCGATTGACCGGGTACCTGAAACAGGGCGCCATGTTCCCAGGCCATCGAGGACGCCTTCGAGCTGGCGCGGATCCTGGACGGCTCCACAACCTTCGCCCAGGACCCTGATCCCAAGGCGCGACTGGAATCCATAGAGCTGCAGCCTACCATGGGCGGGGGGGGGCGTGTCTTCTAAGATTGTTGTTTTTTGTTGGAAGAATCCAGTCCTTCCAAAAGGGACCCCATGAAAGAGGTGCTCTTTTCTTGACGGTCGATGTTTTTTTTTGTGCCTCCCTCCAGCTGGTGGTTTGGAGTCCAGTGGCTTGGAGGTGCTGGGGGGGGTGGTTTCCCATGTCTCCTCTACAAAAAGGCAACACCTGGGGGTTTGGTGGCGGCTCCAGATCCACAGCCGTCCAAAAACCCCAACCGCCTCCCCCGAGCCCTTCAGCAGAGGTCACCTCGGAGGCGCTGCAGGACTTCTACCGGAGCCGCATGCCGCGGGTGGCGGGCATCTCGCTGCTGTCCGGCCTGGCCTCGGATCTCATCATCAACGCCCGGAGCCCGAGCGGAACTCGCGGCCCCCAGAACTCGCTGGGGGAGAGCGTTGCTGGAGAAGCAGGGCCCCAAAAATGGAAGTGCCCACCTTGTAAGTCAGTGAGAGGCTGAAAGCGAAGTTGAGTACGTGGATTCTACCGGGGTTTCGGTTCGGTTCTAGTCATTTGCAAGTGTTTGGCAATCGGCCTTCAAGCGCCTGATAAGCAGGGAGTTATTCCGCGAATTTTGGGTGGACATGGGTCCCTTGGTGTAGAATTGCGATGGTCTTTTTTGTTTTTGAGTCGGAAGCATGGATGTGAGAAGCGCACTGATAGATTTGGTTTTCAAGTGGCTGGCACTAGATGCATGGAGATTATGGCCAACCAGTTTTGGGTCAATTGGAGTCTGTTTCCCATTAACACTTACAGCTATTTGATCCATTTTCTTGTGGTGATGGGCCCTCTGTCAAGAAGAGATGGTTTCTCGCGGTTTCTCGTCTTGTTACCATTTGTACTTGGTGGTTTGGCGTAGTGATGGGACACCAGCCCCAAACCTCCAATTCCATCAAATCAAACCACGCATTCAAACCACAAATTAGGGCTGGGCTTCCGTTTGCGGTTCAATTCGTTTCGTTGGTGACACTTTTTCGGGATGGTAGTCTTGCGTGGGTCCTCCTTTGTTGCTCCAGGTCCCTTTTTCCGGTTTTCCACCACACGGCGTGAAGCCACAGAAGGATAGGGATGGATCATTGAGGTTTCTACCCCCACTGCTCCCCAGCGATTCTTGTTGGATCATTTGTTGACCGCTTTTCTTGCTGTCCTAGCGCCTTGCCGGCCGAGCGCTTCTAGGCCTTCGGCACGCCCTGGTCGCCCCACGATGCCGCCCGGCATAAAAGGCAGTGCCAGGCATCGACGCAGGCTTTGTGAGGAAGGCGCTCAACCCCAACGCAGTGAGTTGATACGCCTTACATGTCAAAATGCTGCTAGCTAAAAGTGAGACAACCACTGGCTTTCTGGCAAAATGCTCCGTCTTTTTTTGTTCCCGGAGTCCAACTAGAACCAACCCCTTGCCAGCCAAGAAACAAGAAAGCTTCAATTGTAGGAAGCGCCCTTGTTTGTTGTATGGTTGTTTTGTATTGCAGCAAAGGGTGTCAGCCAGTCCCCGGTTGGTTGGTTTTGCAAAGCGATTCGCAGGCATTGGTTTAGGCCTTGTTGCCCCTTTTAGTGTGACAGTTCGCAGCAAATTGTTTGGCATTCTAAAGCTGCTGTCCCCTTTCTGATGTCAACTTCAGCCTTTAAAACTTTGGACAATGACGATGATGACGAGGCGTGTCCCACTGCCCAGGTTTGGACCCAGGAACGTGCGGGTGTTGTTTCCCATATGTCCCAAAGGCCTTTTCCCACCTATCCGCTTTGCTGCTGGCGGTTTTAGGTATCTTCTCCCATTTTTTGAGACCCCTAACCCCTGGTGTCGTGTTTAGTGACACGCGGGTGAACCGTGCAAAGGGAAACATGGAATCCCTATCTTGAGAAACACCCTCACGGGCCCAGGAGAAGGGTACTGACTGGAGATCCTATCTGACCTTGGCCTGGAAGCCCTTCCTGCAGTTCATCTTCTTCCCGCTGCAGCGAGGGACCGAGCTGGGAGAAGCGCAAGGCTCAAAAGGTTGGACTTTGCTGGGGCCCTCCAAAGGGGTTGAGTCCTGTCCTTTTATGTGCATGTTGAGTCCCATTTGCACAAGGGAACCTGTGGAAATCTTAGGGGCTGTGCGTTGTTTAAGGGGTGGGATTTTGGAATGCGGATATTGTCTAAAGGTGTCAAATGGCAAAGGGCCAGCGAACCCTCGCAATTTTCAGGTCGGGGGGATCGTTTAAGCTAGGGTCGAGTCGGCAGGTTCCTCTTCCGTATTTTGGTTTGGGTCGTTTCCCACCAAGATTTTCCAAGGTCAACTTCTGTGTCATTGCTTCTGTGCGTTGTCAGGTTTCCACTCACGGGCCAAGGTCAACCTCTGTGTCTCAGTTTTTTTTGTTACTCAGGTTCCTCTTGGAATGTGGTGGCTTGTCGCGTAGCACCGGCTCAGGTGGTTGGTTGGTTGGTTGGTTGGTTGGTTGGTTGGCTGGCTGGCTGGCTGGCTGGCTGGCTGGCTGGCTGGTTGGCTTGTTGGCTGGTTGGCTGGTTGGCTGGCTGACTGATTGGTTGGTGGCTTGGTGGCTTGGTGGCTTGGTTGCTTGGTTGCTTGGTTCGCAGGTCGGTTGGCAGGTCGGGTGGCTGGCTGACTGGCCGGTGGGTTGGTGTTTGGTTCGTTGGTTGGTTGGTTGGTTGGTTGGTTGGTTGGTTGGTTGGTTGGCTGGTCGGTTGGCCGGTTGGCCGGTTGGCCGGTTGGCCGGTTGGCCGGTTGGCCGGTTGGCCGGTTGGCCGGTTGTTAGTTGGTTGGTTGGTTGGCTGGCTGGCTGGCTTGGTTGCTTGGTTGCTCTGGTCGGCGGTGTTGGTTGGCCGTCTGCCTGCTTGTTTGGTTGGCGGGGCGGTTGCATGGCATATATGTGTTTGTTGGTTCGTTCGTTCGTTCATTCACTCATTCATTCATTCATTTATTCATTCATTCATTCATTCGTTCATTAAGCGAGTCAGTCAGTCAGTCAGTCAGTCAGTCAGTCACTCACTCACTCACTCACTCACTCACTCACTCACTCACTCACTCACTCACTCACTCACTCACTCACTCACTCACTCACTCACTCACTCACTCACTCACTCACTCACTCACTCACTCAGTCACTCAGTCACTCAGTCACTCAGTCACTCAGTCACTCAGTCACTCAGTCAGTCACTCAGTCACTCAGTCACTCAGTCACTCAGTCACTCAGTCACTCAGTCACTCATACACTCATACACTCATACACTCACTCACCCAGTCGGTCACTCAGCTTCTTAGAGCACCTGGTTTGCAATCGCACACTTTCGTCAGTAATATCCTTAGTTGGTTTGTATTGTGGGGGGGGCTGCCCCCCCCCCCAACCCCCTGCTCTTTGTTATTGTAGGGCCGTTTGTTCGACTTGGTGATCCTTGTTTATTTATAGGGCCGTTTGTTCAGCTTTGTGAGCCTTGTTCGTAATCGCACACTTTCTGCCTTGGTGTCTGGATTTGTTTCGCTTTTCGGGGTGGCTGCCCCACCCCCCCCCCCCCCCCGCAACCCGCCCTGCTTCTTTACAGGGCCTTTGTTCGGACTGTTGTCCTTGATTGTAATTGCGCACTTTCTCCATTAGTGTGCGGATCTGTTTGGCCTATTGGGGGGGGGGGCTGCGCCCCTGCTTCTTTGTTCGGCTTTGTGATCCTTGTTGTAGTGTCTGGATTTGTTTCGTCAATAGGGCTGAGCCCCGCAACCGCCCGCTTCGCACTTTCTCCACCAGTGTCTTTATTTGTTTTCTATTGGCCCCACGTCTTTACAGGGCCGAAACCAACTCTAAACCCATCCTACACCAGCCCTAAACCACTCTAAACCAACCCCAAAAAGCCCATAAAACAGATCCCAGTACCTAAAGCGCCGCCACCCCCAACTTGCCTCGCGGCCCCAGCTCCCGGAGCCGGTGCTAAGCACAGAGCCGGTGCTAAGCACAGAGCCGGTGCTAAGCAAAAGAAAAACCCTCCGCCCAGGTTCCTCTTCCTCTACTCGAACCACCCCTCGGGTGGCATGGGCAGCCTACCCAAGCGACTTACGGAGGAGTGGGAGCAGCGGCATCGGAAATCCGCCGAGGCCAGGATGTTGACCCGGCAAACATGGCACGGGGAGCTGGGACCATGGCCCGCAGGAATTTTGACTGTGACACATGCGGGTGTGGGGTTGTTTGGGTGTTGCCCTTTTTCCAACAGTCCTGGGTTTTTGGCAGAAGGTTTTTGGAAGACTCCATCATGGCTTGAACGAGGCCTTTCTTTTCCATTATTGTTGGACAGATTGTTTTATGTTTGGTTTAAGCTATTGCTGTCAAACTTAGTAGTCTTTGTCTCAACCTGCTTTTTGTTTCATGTGGTAACCTACGGACGGGCAATAGTAACGCCCGCGTGTGCCTCAGCTAGGCCGCCTTTGCTGCGGCGCGGCGGGGGGAGAAGTCCAGCAATGGACCCTCCTTCTTCGCGCGGGTGAACGCCGAAGAGGAGAAGGCAAGGACTGCACGGCGGATGCCAGAAGTGGGGTTTCTTAAGATGCGCAAGCCCGGGCAGCCCGAAAGCCTTGTTTTTTTTGGGGGGGAGGGTTCCCTCAAGACACCAACCAAAAAGAAAAAACTGAATTTGGCTGGGCTTTGTGGCTTGGAGATTTGACCCGCTGGTTTTTGGGCAATTGGAGAAACCACTCCCAGACTAACACCTCCAAACCGCTAGTCCAAGCCGCCGTCAACCACAAGGAGGCTGATGGAACGTGGTTTCGCAATGTAGGGCTATTGCAAGTAGGGCTGGGGAACTCGCCGGCTTTGTGATTGGATCACTGTTTAGGCTCGTTTTGATTGAGTCTCCTTCGAAGTGAACGTCCAGGTGCTCCCCGACTACTCTAAGATTAGCCTAATCCCCAGATCCTCACAGCTTAGATCCCAACCAGGGAGGATGGGTGGGCTTGTGGGACCCTGGCGTCATGTTGCGCCGCCTCCAAAGCAAGCCGATAAAAAGAGTTTTTTTTGTGCACCAACACAAGCATGGTAGTGGAAATGAATGTTTGGAATCAAATTTGTCAAATCGCAAAGTAGTCATGGGAGTGTCCAATTTTACCACGGGAAGTGGCCATGTTGCGGGAGTCGCGAGCCGCCACGCAGGTGGCAGCCTAAGCCGAGAGCGGGGAGCATTTTCTGAAGCCCCGCGCCGCGGGGCGCGCCGCCCAGACGATGAGATTCGCATCGCAAGACAGCAACCTGAGCCGTTTTCTCATCCGATTCCACAGTAGCCTCAGGAGAGTTCGTTCTTGGCGTTTCTGTTCCTTTTTTGGGGGGCCTAGTTTTGCGCCAAATGAATTTGCGGGGACGTGTTTTGAAGGACCCCGGCCATGTGGTTGCTCGTGCTCCGTGTGGACAGGGCTGGTGAAGAGACCGCCCGTTTGGGCTTGTTTCTCCTTTTGGCTCGGAGTGACGGAGTGGACCCCGCGGCAGCACGGCAGCGCCTCTAAGAATTATGCAGACGAGCGTTTTCTGTCCGGTTCCCTTCATTGGTGGTTTTGGTGGGGCCTGGTTCTTATGCTGGGTAAATGGGAGGCTAACCTGCAAACCGCCAAGCCACCAAACCACCAAACCACCAAACCAGACCACCAATTCGAGGGAAGCCGAATGCTTGGTTTGTCCTGGCAAGGGGATGTGGAACCCTTAGGCCTTAGGCAAACATTGCAGAATCTTTTGGGGGGCACCCTGTTTTGACTCCATGATTTCAAGAGCAGTCTATGGCAGCCATGGAACCCTTGATAGCGCAGCACCTGCAAGCCTGCAAGCCTGCACGCCAAGTTCTGCGCGTCCCGAGCCGGCTTCCATGCGCCCAGCTTTTTGGAAGCTCCGAGCGGGCGCTCAGCTCGAGCGCCCGCCGGGGTAGAGGGTGTGTGGCCGTGTGGCTGTTGCAAAACGACCGCGCGCGTGGCGGGTTTTGGTGGGCGGCAACTATGGGGTGTCCACGGCTCCTGTGCGCTTCAAAGGGCCGCCTGATTTTGTCCATGTTGTTTTTCTCTCTCTGTGAAGCTTTTTCGCCGCCCACCTCCCCAGTTTTGTTCCTCCCCCCAAGCTCCTCTTGATTTGTCCACAGGCCCATCCTACTGGTGTTGTTTTGACGGCAAAGGCAGACTCTGGAGTTTGTTGTTTCCCTTCAACCTACCGCTTGTGGGTTACCGTGCTGCTAAAATGGGCTTGTCTCTAGGGGAACCCGTGAGATCCTTGGTGTCATTTTGGCTTCCCTACCCCAAAAAATCGGCCGCCCTCCACAAAGAGATTTGGACCAGGTGCCTGGAGCCCTCGCGGCCTCGGGCCGCCGCGGCGCGAGATGCGCTCAGCCTGTGCCCTCCTGGAGGTTCTCCGGGCTCTGGCCGAACCGATTCCCAATGGGCATGCAATGTTTGAGTAGCCGGCTCCGGGAAAGTAGGGCTGTTTGCCGTGTTTGCACCGCAAGTCAGGAGTCGCCGCTCAGGTGGCCGCCGCGTGTTGTGACGATGGCTTTGGGGCTAAGCACCGTGAGATGGGAACGCCTCTTTTGCACCACGCAAGGCAAACATGAAATGCTTCACAGTGATCCCTGCAATTCCTGGGCACCTCAGATTGACCAAACGGGAATTTCACGCCACCAGGGTGCCCTGCAGAAGGGTTTCGCAGGAAACGGGTTTGTCTCAAAATGGGAGAACCTGTGAAATGGCTAGTTTCTCTTCGGCTTCTCTAAGGCAGCCCAAAAAGTGGTCTCTTAATGACACACCCAGATGAGCCATGTGGAGTTTTGGGCACCTCCACCCCATTGCCTTTGAGGTTGGGAGTTCGCAAGCCTCGCTCGCGGCAGGTACGACGAGTTCATGAGCGCCGGGAAGCGCGCAGGCTGAATTGAGAGCCAGTCATCTTAACCCCAACTCGGAAGAAACTGAAACCTCGCCAGATTCCAAGGCTGGTGTTTGCCCCGAAAGTGATTCATTGCATTTTGCCAACGCCCCGCCATTCATCAATCTGGGGGAAGGGGCTGAGCTAAGGGCCCTTGATTGCTCTTGAAACCAAGCACCGAGGACCCCACAAAACGACCCTCTCAATTTGAATTACTTGTTTGACCTCCTGATTTGGAGATGGTTCTTGCTGTTTTGCAGATCGTGCAAAACAAGAACATTGTCCCGTGCTGTGTTTTGTGGGCAGGGTTGTCTATATGGATGTGTTTATTGGACCCCCAAATTGTGGTGTCCCTTCCGGAAGTACGCTGACAGCCATCTTTTAGGGTGGGCAATAGGGATAATTGGGGATCGCAAGCAGGAGTTAGAACCAGAATTATGCAAACAACTCGTTTTGTGCAAGGGTGTTGGATGTGGTTGGCCACGCACCCTTTTGGACGAAGTTGGTTCCCCCATTCCCGAGCAAACACATCTGCGAAAGGTAAATGGACAAAGGTAAACTTCGGCTTGGTGGTAAACGGTTCCTCGGTTGCTCGACCACCGGAGTTCAACTCGGGCCCGCAAATTCGAAGGGCACCATGGATATCAACAGAGAGGTTATGTCACTCAATGTGCTACCCAATTTGGGTTGGGCAAGGGAAAAGCAAACCCGCATCTTGGAATGGTCCAAAAAGTGGTCTAGGCTGGTCATTTCCCTTGGCGGCTGTTTGGTCGGACCTTTCGCATTGTTTTTTTTTTGGGGGGGGGGCTGTTTCGGCTCCTTGATCTTTCTTTCGCCGTTCCAACAGGTCTCTTTTGTTAAATGCGTGCGCGCCGCTCCGCAAAAGATTCTGACGGCTTCTTGCCAGGCCCGCGTCTCTTCGCCGCCGCGGCGGAGGCCTGCGAGGCCGGCCGGTGAAAAAACTAGACACCGATGATCCCGAAAGCGAAGATGAGAAAGGGAATGCAATAATGTTAGGGTATGTCTATGATATTATTCATGTTAACTGTTTCTCTCTCTCTCTCTCTCTTTTTCTCTCTTTCTTTCTCTTTCTCTCTTTCTCTCTCTCTCTCTCTTTCTCTCTTTCTCTCTTTCTCTCTCCTTCTGTCGCTCTCTCTCTCTCTCTCTCTCTCTCTCTCTTTCTCGTTAAAATCGGTTGTTACTTTGCTTACAAGTGCAAGTGCTGTAGTGTTCAAACAAACAGTCAACCAATGTAGTCTGCAGCTGCCAACCTTTTGACTCATGCGGAGTAGTAAGCTCAAGGCCTGCGGTAGTGAACATACATGCAACAAGAGTGCGAAGTGAAGCATGTAGTTTGACACGGCCCCTCAGTTACAAGGTCTTTGTAGTACCTTTTCAACTGAAGTGGAAAACATGGATTGACAGTAGTGATGAAAACCATTGTTGTTCATCAATTATACTGTATTGGCAAAAGTAGTGACCTGCGCTGAGTAGTTCACGCTGTTCAGGTTCCAGCTCGATGTAGGGCGCTGGACGGAAGTAGCGAAGGCAGGCACTCGTTGTAGTAGAGCAGAAGCTCAAAAATGTAGTCCCCATTTCTGGGTGCGGTAGGCTTGGACCATCTGTAGTCGACTGTCCAAGGTCGCGTAGTAGTTGGTGGTGAAAATGGTTGTCATGTAGTTTGGAGCTCCCCGTAGTCGCTCATCATCAATCTCGGGACACGACATGTGTTGGTCGTAGTCCCGTAGAAAGCGGTGTAGTAGTGCTTTGTGGTGTTGTGTGAGGTTGGTCATTGTGAGTAGTGTGAATCCGTAGTATTGGATGCTTTTGCAGAGGATTGTAGTGATTGCTTTGTGCTGGAAGTCGTGTAGTTGGTCTCGGTTGTAAAGGTAATGGAGTAGTTCAGGTAGAAGTAGTGGCATGTGGTAATTCCAAACGTAGTTGTTCCTGAGGCTGTAGTTGTCAGTGAAGGTGGTCATGTTGTAGTTCACCTTGAAGATGGTCTGTGGCAGTGTTGTAGTCGGGAGGTAGTAGTTGTGTTGTACCGACATCATGTAGGAGATGTAGTCCCTTGTGAAGTGTAGAAATTGTCCTGAAGTGAGGTACCTCAGGAGTAGTGGTTGTTCAATCTGGAGTTGGATGATGACGTAGTTGGTGTTGTCGCCAGTTGTAGTGTGGAGTGAAGTCGTGTGGTAGTAGTGGACGTTGGCTGCTTCAGGTAGTGAAATGCTGAGCAGTGTGGAATTGTAGTGTGGCATCCGAAGATCTCCAGGGATGCAGTGAATGGGTCGTGTGTAGTCCAGTTGTGCCAGTGGAGTAGCTTGTTGTTGTGAGAGTAGTTGATACTCTTCAAGTGTAAATGCAGTGAAAAATTGAGTGTAGGGAATGTTGTTGGGCAGTGGTGGTGCAGTGGTTGTCTGGTGCTCAGTGATGTGTAGTTGGTCCATCACTGTGGTCGGGTTGTAGTAGACGGTGTTGCCGGGTGTAGAATGGTTGAAGTGGTAGTTGGAGTCGTTGTAGGTTTGAGGTGGTGGAGTTCCATGGTCACTGGAGTCTGTAGTGACCGCCACCTCAGGTGTAGTCGCCCTGTCGGGCGTAGTGGCGTCTCCCATCGTAGCATCTGCAGTAGATGCAGCGGCCATGGCTGCAGTGGAATGCAAAATGTAGTGAAACGGGGCAAAACAAATGAGCCTCAGTAGTTGCTACCAGGCAGTCGGCGAATGCAGACATGTAAAAGAAACAACTGTAGTGTTGACTCAAGCCGCCAAAAGTCCAAGTGAAAGTACATGTAGTTACTGTTACTTACATACCAAAAGTGTCGTGTTACATGTAGCTACTTACATACATGAAATGTCCAAAGTCGTTGTTGTTGTTGTGAAACTGCTGTGCTGGTCGTTCGTAGTGCTAGATGCGTATTCCAATGCTCTGGATGAGCCTGTGTAGTGTTTCTTTGCTGATGTATTTGGTAAACAAATCTGCGCTGTTGTGGAGTGTGTTGATCTTAAGGATTCTGATGATGTCGTGCTTGATGAGGTCTTGTGTGTAGAGGAATTTGAGGTCGATGTGTTTTGCTCGTTTGCTAGTGCCTTGTCGTGTAGCAATGCTCTTGCCTGCTGTGGAGTCTGTGTGGATGCGTAGGTTTAGCTTGCTGCAAATGTTGGTTTCAAGTAGGAAGTTTCTGAGGTGTAGTCCCTCATTAACTCCTGTGCAAATGGCGTAGAGTTCAGACTCTGCTGAGCTAAGTGCTATTGTAGCTTGTGTTCTGCTGCCAAATGCAACTGTTGTTCCTAGAAAGATGATGTTGAAACCTGAAGTTGATTTCCTGGTAGTAGGGCATCCTGCCCAGTCGGCATCGACATGAACGTCGAGATCCAGGATGTTGTTGGTGTTTGCTCTGAGTGTTGTTGTTGGTTCTATGGTGAATTTGTAGTGCTTGGTGCCGTGCAAGTAGCGTAGTAGATGTTTGACTCTCTTTTGTGAAAGTTCTGTAGGTGCTGTGAGGTCTCGTGCTAGTTCTTTTGTGGAGTATGCAATGTCTGGTCGTGTGTATGCTAACCATTGAAGTTTGCCAACAATTCTTCTGTACCTTTTGTGTTGTTCGTGGTCAAGTAGTGCTTCATCTTCTATTGTTGGTTTGTAGTGTGCAATTCCTGGAGTGTTTACTGAGTTGCAGTTGTTCATTCCAGACTCCTCGATCATGTTGTCAATGTAGGAGTCCTTTAGTCCAAGATTGCAGTAGTTGCCGAAGTGGTCGATGTTTCTTCCAAGAAATTGTTGTGGTTTGCCAGGTTCGAGGTAGCCGATGTGCTTGAGTAGTACCTGCTTCTGGACGGCCTCGAAAGTGGAGTCGACTGCGGTCTTGTCTCCAAGTACTAGTAGATCGTCCACGTAGACCATGATGTAGCAGTCGCGAGTCGCATTGGTGTAGACGTTGGGTTCTGACTTTAGTCTTACAAAGCTGAGCTTTTGTAGAACTTCAGCCAGGTAGTCCTGCCATGCTTTCGGTGAACTGCGTAGTCCATACATGGCTTTCTTTAGTCGCCAGATTTTGTCCTGTTGTGGACAAAGTTCTTTAGGTGGCCAAAGGTAGACGTCACGTTGTTTACCGTCGTGGTCTTTTGCGATGGGTGCGTGTAGAAATGCTGTAGAGACGTCACCTAGTCGCGCGATCCAGTTTGGTCGTGACATTTGTAGTGCGAGAAGTGTCCGGAGTGTCGTGAACATTGGTGTAGAGGCGTAGACGGAGTCTTCGTCCTCGATCTTCTCGGTGTAGCCTTTTGCGACGATTCGGCTTCGTACTCCTGGTCCTTTCTTTCTGTGTACCCATCTTGTAGGTATCGCTTCTCTGATGACGTTGTCGTTGACGGTAGACGCATCTACTTCGTCGTAGACGTCGTGTAGTTTCATTTGGTTTGACTCGTGTTTCATTCCTTCCAGTAGTTGTGTTTCGTCGTAACCTTCGTTGTCGAAGATTATGGGTTGGTCTTCTGAGGTGTCGTCGTTTGTGTAGGGAGTGATGGATTTTCCGTTGGGAAGTGTCACTGCGTTGATTTTCTGTCGTAGTGGTGGTGGTTCTTTGGTTGCTTGTTCCGTTGATCTGATTGTAGTGTCCTTTGAGGTCTTCTGTGCTTTAGTTGGTTGCATTACTTCTTCCGGAGTTAAACGTCGTAGTGTTTGTCGAGGTGGTGCTGGTAGTGGTGGATGTTGTCGTCCAGTTGGTGAAGTAGCCATAGGACTATCCGGTAGTGGTCGTGAACTTGACGTCGATGTGGACGGAAGTCGTGGAGGTGGTGTAGTGCGTTGTTGTTTTGTTGCGGGTTCCGCAACGATGTCGTCCGTAGCGTTCGTTTGTTGTCCGAAATCTTGCGTGGACCTTCTTTTCTCTGACGGTTGTAGTTGCGTATCCAACAGTGTTGCGAACGATGGGTTGTAGGTGTTCCGTCGTGGTGCCCATGGTGTGCCGGAAACTTTGTTCAACAGTGCGAGGTCGTATTTGAAGTCCGGTTGTAGTCTTCGTACTGTTCGTACCTTTTGTACGCCTGATTCCGTTGCGACGTAGTCTTCTCCGGTTTCGGAAACTTTTCCGAGCCAGATGCATGTCTGCATCCGTAGGTCTGCTTTTGGAAGTTTCTTGTGTTGTGGTGGAGGGTAAAGTAGTGTCTCGCCAAATTCGCAGATTGCTCGCTCGTAGTTTCTTCCCCAGCGGCGTTCAAAGCTTGTGTAGCCGTCTGAGTGAATGACGTAGCGATTTACCGTCCATGCTGCATGTCGTACTATCCAAGGTAGTAGGCAGTGCTTTGTGGACAAAGTCATGCTGTAGTTGCTTTCAACCTGAGCTTTGACGACGCGGATTTGTCCGAGAAGTCTTCTATGTAGTCGCTCAACGCTTCCTTGGCTGTTGCTGCTGTAGGAAGGTGAATGTCGTACACTCATTGTGCCGACTTTTGCTGCTGTAGCTTTTAGAAGTGCGTTGAGTGTGTCTTCGTTGTCGCTTTGTAGTATGCCTTGTGTTCTTCCGCACTCAAAGATGAATGCTCGTAGGTTGTTGACCATGTAGTCCATCATTGATGATTTGTCTGGAACCAATACTGCCATACACAGTTGTGTAGTAACATCAGCTGCTGTCAGTACCGGTGTGGTCTTTGGGTCTTGTTGTGACTTGATGTAGGCAAAGTCTACTTGAATGACAGGTTGTCGTGATTGTTGTTTCTTGTAGTTGTCTTGGCGTCCTTTGCCTTGAACGCAAATTGGACACCAGTTTCTGTATGGTAGATGTGTAAGGTTGTGTTCTGTTATTTGTTGTGGAGTGGGCTTCTGTGGTTGTCGTAGTCCTCTTGCTCTGTGTGCTTCATGATGCTCGTGTTGTTGTTCTTCATCGTGGTTCTCCTGGATGTACTCGTAGTCTTTCTTCACGGTAAACCTTGTTGTTCCTTTCCATTGAAATGGTAGTGCTGCGTTGCCCATGACTGTCCAGTCATCTTTGCGTTGTGAAACTTCTCCAAAGTTGTTGTGAGTGATTGTAGTTCTGTGAGGTTCGAGTGTGTTGATTGGTGGTTGTCCTGGTCCATCTGTTGGAGTGAAGAGAGTTGTTCTAAGCGTTGTGTGGTGTCGTATCCAGTGTTCACCTTGTCTTTCCCAGTAGTCCTGGTTGTCCTCCTGTGCTGTGAGTGGTCTGTGTATTGTCTCCTTTGGTTGCGTGGTGTCAAGGTTTGTAGAAGGTGCTGCGTTAGGTCTCCATATCTTTTGTGGTGCTCGTAATTGGGTCTTTGATCTGGTTGGTGGTGTGTCCATTAGCCGTTGTGGTTGTGAGCTCTGCCTTGTTGGTGTGGTCTTTGATGTTGCTCTGCGTGTAGGTGTTATCTTTCTTCTGAATCTGGTTTCTCCAGTCCAGTTGTCACCTTCTAGTCTTCGTTGTAGTTCTTGCTTGGAAAGTTGTGTTGGGTTCTCTTGTAGTTGTTCTTGCTCTTGCCCTTGTCTGTTGATGATGGTTAGTCTCCAATCATCTAGTTCTCCTTCTGGTATTGGGCAGCCACTGTTGTGTGGTGTGAACAGTGCTTTGCGTGGTCGTTTGTGTACTCTGATGGCGTAGTCACCATCAAGTTTCCAGTAGTCAGTGTTTCCACCAAGGATCTGTCGTAGTCCTTGGTCTGTGTGTGTGAGTGGTGCGATTTGTTCTTGTTGTTGTGCTGCTCTCTCTGTAGGTTGAATCACAGCAATGGATTTTCCATTGTCTGTAGTCATTGGGTAGATGTCGAATCCTGTAGGAATGTCGATCTTCTCTGCTCGTAGGTAGAAAAGTCCTGAGTGTCTTATGAGGTGTGCTTGTTGTTGTCCATGTGTGATGGTGCAGTGTCGTGGAGTGAAGTCAAGCCCATATCCTCTATCAAGTAGTCTTGATGCGCTGAGGATTGGATACTTCACATCACAAACGTGGTAGGGTATCATGATCCTGAAGTTGTCCTGTTTGTAGGGAACGTACTTGATGCCGTAGACTGGAATCTTCTTGTTGGTCACCGTGTGGAGTTGTGGAACTGATTCTCCACAGGGTTGTAGTGGAAGATCCGGTGCGTAGTCCTTTGGGCAACATGTGCAGATGCTCCTGAGTCGATCAACAGGTGGTGGTATGACTTGAAGTTGGAGTACATGATGTAGTGGGTGATAGTGTCCTCAATCTTCTTGTTCCTTTGTTGTTGTCTTGCTGCTGCTATGTCGAAGTGTAGCTTTGTGGTGTCTTCTTGTAGGAATTGTTGAAAAAGCCTGCTTGTGTGTCGTGTGGTCGTGTCCATGACTCGTTGATGTGTAGTGCTGTGTTCTCTTGCCAAAGTAGTGATTTGGATTTGTGCTTGTGTAGTCGTGATTTTGCTTGTCTGATGTGTGCAACGGTGAGGTGTGACTCGTTGATGCCTCCAATGTAGTTCGCTGTGTCCTCATAGCTGTTGTCATTCCAATCCTAGCTGTTGTCATAGTCGTAGTTGTTCCAGTTCTCCTCCATGTAGTTCACCTCATGTTGTCCTTCTTCTCCTTCGTAGTACCAGTCCCAAGTTTCGTTCACATCCTGAGGTAGTTCATCATTGTTGTCGTGATCTGCTTGTTCTTGTTCTAGTGGATGTAGTTCTTCTCCTTCTCCTATGTGCCACACCGGCACTCTGCAGTCTTGTGCCCAGTGGCCGGGCTTGCCACATCGATGGCATGTTGTGTAGTTGTTGTTTCCTTTTCCTTTCGATTTGCTGTAGTTTCCTTGGCCTTTGTAGCCTTTGCTTGATCCATATCCTTTGGATCCTGAGTAGCCTTTTCCTTTGCTCTTGTTGTATCCTCCTTTGTTGTAGTTTCCTTTGCTGCCTTTGTCGAATCCTTTGTAGTGTCCTTTACTCCTGTACTTGCCTTTGCTCTTGCTTCCTTTGTAGCCGCCTTTTCCTTTTCCTTTGCCTTTGTAGTTTCTTCCTTTCCTCCATATGTTGTCAACATCCATTGGTGCAGTTCCTCCATTGTAGTTTGTTCCTACTGCTGAAGTAGATCTAGTGAAGGCTGAAATCGTTTTGTAGTAGTCCAGGATGAGTGCTCTGATCTCGATGTAGTTCGTGATCTGTCCAGCTCGCAGTTGGAGGTGTTGCTGCAGTGCTCCTTTGGTTTTGTTGAGTAGTATTGCTATTTTGATTCCATCTGGTAGTGCTGTTCCATTGTCTTTCTCGTAGCGGTTGATGTCGTATTCCCATTGTAGAAATTGTTCTTCAAACTGTGCTTCGTTGAATGTGGGTTCCAGTAGTTTGGTAAGGCAACCAACGCTCCTTGTTCCTACTGGTAGTCGTAGGGTTTCACATCCGTTTGCGTTGTAGCGGTTTTGCCTTACTACTGTAGCTGCTGCTCCCTGACAGATGTTGATGAGGATGTAGTGTGGATCTCTGGAGAGGTCTACTGCTTTGCTTGCTTGTGTAGGGTCGAGTATGTGTGTTCTGATGTCTGTGTCCTCAATCTGTCGTGTAGCCACTTGTGCTAGTTGTAGCACCAGGTCGAAGTCTCGGTCTATGAGGCCGAGGTATGCTTGTAGCTTGAACAGCCATTCTTCATACTGGGAGTAGTCACCAGTGAAGAAGGGTGGTGGCAGTTTGTATCTATGTAGTCTCTGAACGTCGTTGTCTTGTTCTGTTCCTGCTCCCGTAGTCGTGGCTCCTACTGTGTCTGCTGTTGGCCCGTTCTCTGCTCCTGTAGTTTGTTGTGCTGAGGCTGATGCTGCTTCTCCTGACATGTCGTAGTAGTTTGGCATGTAGCTGCTGTTGCTGTGGTTGTAGTACTTACTGCTTACTGGAGCTCCCCTATGTTTAGGATCTCAGCTCCGCTACCACGTTAAAATCGGTTGTTACTTTGCTTGCAAGTGCAAGTGCTGTAGTGTTCAAACAAACAGTCAACCAATGTAGTCTGCAGCTGCCAACCTTTTGACTCATGCGGAGTAGTAAGCTCAAGGCCTGCGGTAGTGAACATACATGCAACAAGAGTGCAAAGTGAAGCATGTAGTTTGACATTTCTCTCTCTCTTTCTCTTTCTCTTTATCTCTCTCTCTCTCTCTCTCTCTCTCTGTCTCTCTTTCTCTTTCTCTTTCTCGTTCTCTTTCTCCTTCTGTCTCTTTCTCTCCCTTTTTCGCAAGCCGGAGTTGCGGGAGTGTACTTCGCGTACTACTTTTCTACTTAAAATTTGCGATTCTCAGGCCGGAGATGCGGGAGCGTACTTTGCATACTACTTTTATACTTAAAACTTGCGATTCTCAGGCCGGAGCTGCGGGAGCGTGCTTCGCGTACTACTTTTGTACTTAAATTTTGCGAAAACCAAAGCGAGAGCGATCCGACACGCGCAATCTCCGCAGAGGGTTCGCCGGCGAGCTTTGAAATTCGCACGGCGCCACAGCGAGATCGATTCGACACGCACAATCTCCGCAGAGGGTTCGTCGACGAGCTTTGAAATTCGCACGGCACCACAGCGAGAGCGATTCGACACGAACAATCTCTGCAGAGAGTTCATCGGCGAGCTTTGAAATTCGCACGGCGCCACAGTGAGAGCGATTCGACACGCACAATCTCCGCAGAGGGTTCGTCGGCCACGTAAAAAAAACCACGGCGCCACAGCGAGAGCGATCCGACACGCACAATCTCCGCAGAGGGTTCGTCCGCGAGCTTTGAGATTCGCACGGCGCCACAGCGAGAGCGCTTCGACACGCACAATCTCCGCAGAGGGTTCGCGGGCCACGTAAAAAATTCGCACGGCGCCACAGCGAGAGCGATCCGACACGCACAATCTCCGCAGAGGGTTCGTCCGCGAGCTTTGAGATTCGCACGGCGCCACAGCGAGAGCGCTCCGACAAGCATGATCCCCGCAGAGGGTTCATCCCCCCAGCCCCCGCCAGACCCACCCCCGGCTAAGAAAGAAGATAGAAGTTAAAGGCTGCGAGCTTCGGCTGGGTCAGTAAAGCTGCGTAAGCTAGGCTGTGTAAGTCAGGCTGCGTAAGCTAGGCTGCGTAAGTCAGGCTGTGTAAGCTACGCTGCGTAAGTCGGGCTGCGTAAGCTACGCTGCGTAAGTCAGGCTGCGTAAGCTACGCTGCGTAAGTCAGGCTGCGTCAGTCAGGCTGCGTAAGTCAGGCTGCGTCAGTCAGGCTGCGTCAGTCAGGCTGTGTAAGTCAGGCTGTGTAAGTCAGGCCAGTTTGAGTAAGTCAGCCGTGTAGTCGGCAACCGTTTTTTCCAAAGAACCCTTCGCGAGGGTGGCCATTTTGGGATTCAACTTTAGCATTCAACTCCTGGTTCTTCTTGATGATTTGCGACAAGAGAGGGGTGTCCTTTTCAGGGCGCGAGGAAACCAACGGCATATCGCTGCTGCTCCAAGCTGCACGTCCCCAGGCCTAGTGTTGTAACGGGCTTTTGTGTTGCCGTGTTCCATTATGCCGGCTTGCGTGGACTTGTCTGTGGCGGGCCCTTGGTTGATTTGCCGCCCTTGCGATGGGGATGCTGAAATATTACCCAGGCTGGCGCACCCACACACACACATCTGTATTTGGAAGCTCCCCGCCCATTGAGAACCAGGGTTATCCTTGTAAGACCACCTTTTTCAATAACGACCTTCCCCTCAAACATGCAAACTGTTCCTCTTGGATGGATTTAAGTTTGGACAGCAGATCGCGAAAGCCCATGATCTCTGCCAAGTGTGCCACTGAGCGCATCATATACACATCACAAATCCTTTGAAGGCTGAAATGAGAGCCCATGGCTGAGAGAGGCGGTGAGCCATAGATAATCAGCGCTTGCTTCATCCGTCAATGCAAGAGTGTTCGTTTTATATCGGGGGTTGACTTATTCGGACAACGCTTACCTGGTCCAAATTTTTCGTTTTGGTCCCCAAGGGTTCAGCCACGGTATGCATCCCCCGGCTCGCACCTCGTCAGGACGGGGTTTTCTGGGCGAAGGCCCTGGACGTGCTGGAGATGGCGCAAGTGGCCTCGGCCGGGGTTGGGTCAGCTGGGCACTGGTGAACACAAGCAGGCCTTTGATAGGGACCGTTGTTACGGGGGCTTTGTCCAGGTGAGCTTCTCAGTTTCGAGGGACAAAGCCAAGCGCCCTGCGGAACCATAACATATGTTTGTGGAGGCTCTTTTTGAGGGCCCGTTTTAGTGTGCCATGTTATCACAGGGTTAGGGTTCATACACGAGGGTCTTGGCACTTCCCATAATTCGACTTGGGTTGTCCAACGCCCGCAGATTCAAAGGACACCGAAGACCCGCTGCCGCAGCAACTGTTGGCTTCAACCACCTTTGGTTCAGCCCAGGTTTCGCCATGGCAGCCCACACTAAGCAAGACTCACATGAAGGAGCCCCTGCGAAGAGGTGACATCCGCTGGCCAGCAGCCACGTCGGCTCCGCGGCGAATCCGCGCGGCCCGTGGCGTTTCGCATGGCGTCCTCGCAGCGCTCGGACGCGACGTCCAACGAGCAAACGGCTGGGGACTGTGTGGGGAAGGTGTTCGATCCCCGGAAAAGTGGAATTGGGATCGGGCGACGCTTGGAGATCTCCACTTAATTTGCATTTTCACTTTGAGGATTTGGCGTGCAGGTTGGGAGAGGCGTCACAATTAGCTCAACAACGAAGAACGAGGGATCGAATCTCCCAACTGACACATTGAGGAGGATTACGTCCCTGTAAACCAACCCGACTGAAAATGGTACCCTCCAAAAAAAGACACACCCAAAATTACCTTTGCAAGCTGATTTCGAGGATCCCGTGTTATGTGTGGTTCAGCCCCTCGGCTTGTCGTCACCCTGAGGTTTTCCTCGTAGATGGCAGTGCTTTGGGGCGGCAAGCAGAGCCTGACTGGCAACTTGGCTGGCTTTCTCATGCCCTGCTTCGCTTTGGTGCTATATGGGTTGGTCTTTTTTGGTGCCCCCATAAGTGTTTTTCTTTGGTCTCCCTTTGCAACAACCACAAAAAGGGTGCCATCAAGAAAGACGCCCACGTTTGCATCTCGTAAGCTGATTTTGTTCGTGTTAGGAGGAGCCAGAAGGCAAACCACATCTATTTGATGCTGTTTAGAAGGTGTGATGGGAGCTGTCTCTTACGCGCACAAAGAGAACCCTTAACAACAGCCGCCAAGTTACTTCTTGGAACCTGCCCGGAACCGGAAGCCTTCCACACCCCGCCCAGGCCGCCCCAATTCCAGAAATCGCCAAGCCGCTGCAGCCATCGCTTCTTACATTTTGGAAGGATCGAACCTCGTGAAGATTGCAGTTGTACAGCAGTTGAACTACAATAAAGAACCACCTCCAAGGTTGGTGGACACGCCCCCACCCAAACGGCGCCCACCAAAGTGGTTACGCCCATATGGCGGTTGAAAGGATTTGTGGAGTATGCATTGCCCATTGTTCGGGTACAGCTTTCGGCGCTTGAACCGAGGATGGCGGCCCACCACTTGGACAGCCCAGCCGCCCGCTCAGAATATATTTTCCTGGTTGGGGGTTCCGTGCGTGTGCAACACAAAAGGTCTAAGCAATGACAAACTGTACCACTCTCCCAATTGTGAGTAAATGTTGCTTTAAACTTGCTTCTTGTGGTTTTCAACATCACTTTTTGTTTGTTTGTGTGTTGCAGGGATGTTAGGGGAGTATTGAGAACATGCTGGGCGAGGATCAGGGTCACCTGAACACTATTGAAATCGCTACGCGGTCCGCCGACGCCCTCTGCGGTGTGACGACTGCCGTGGCTGTCTATGTTGAGGATCTCTCTTGTGCGACCCTGCTGCCGTCTTCGGATTTGGTTTGATAGAAACAGATCCAAGCCGGGAAAAGCACGTCTACCCATAAGGGCGCGGGGCAAGTAGGCAGTCAGTGGGTTTCGGATTTGATATAAATCAAAGCGCGCAACATCAGATGGTTTTCCGTGCATTTTCAAGGGCACTCCTTTTGGAACTTCTGAAAAGCAGGGCTTCGATTTCTCCCCGTGGGTTTCCTCCTGGTTTTCATTTTTTGTTCGTGGCTTCCTATGGTTGGCATGAAGCAGAGCCAGGCCGAGAAAAAAGTCTTGGGGGGTAAGTCGGTAAGTAAGTGGGCCAGGTAGAAACACCGCTGAGCCGAAGATGGCCTGGGTGTGTCGTGAAAACTCAGTACAGGAGGCCGGGCAAAATGCCCAAGCCCACAATGTCGTGAACTTCGGACGCAAAACATGGCCAAGTACTAGGGGTGGAATGCTGCTAAGGCAGGCAAGGCCGGGGATGCAGCGTGCAAAAACCAGTTTTTCTCCATGTTTTCCAAAACAACCATCAAACAAGGATGCCAGCAACCCCCTTCAAATACCCTCTAAAAGCGTTATAATGCTGGGGATGATCCGCAGCGACAGCCCTATACAGGTGGGAATTGTGCGAAAACACGTATTTTTCCAATGAACAGCACCCTAGATTGTCACTACACTTGCCCCCCACCAAGACCCCAAACAAGCCAAATCCAACATCGCCCTGCAAAGGCCAAAGTCATGCCGCCAAGACAGCGCTGATAATGCTGGGAGTACAGATTCTGCCCAACACCGTAGGCAACCCCCTCCACTTCCCTCACCCGGCAAATGTTGCCCAATTTTGGTTTCCCCAAAAGCCTTCGGCTTTAAACAGAAAGTCAAAAAAATGTGCGTTGCCATCTACACGCTCGACTGGCGTCGGCAGATTTTGCCCGTGCCGTGGGAACAACCCACAAGGGGAGACGATGCGATACGGCGAAGGTCCGCGTTTTGAAACTCAAACTCCTTGAGCAGGCATGAAGTACTCGGGGGCTTTGGGATATGCAATCACTCCGTAGAAGACGCTGTCGGGGAAAAAGGGCACCATTCAATCACTTGAAGGGCCCCCGGGCAAGGCGAGAGAGAGAGAGGGAGAGAGAGTTGGGTTGGACAAGGACAAGGGGGGTAGGTCTAACGTATTTCTTAATAGGGGCGTGGCAAACGTTTTCCGCGCCTTGCAGTAGGAGCGGCTGGCAGCCTGTTGCCAGCAAGTGCGGAGCCTGCATCCAGCTGCCTGGCTTGCACTGGCCCCAGGTTCAACCACCTTGCCTTGTGCAAGGTGCGAGGCCCCCCCCCGCCTCACAGAAAAAAGGAACATGTTTTCTGAAAATGCGCTGTGGAAATGAACCAGACTTGACCCCAAAATGTTCAGATGTGTGCGTTGGCGTGCACACGGAGCAATGTCAGCTTCCCTACAAAGTGGAGCCTTACCAAACCCTTCCCTTTGTACATGACATGTCGAGCATAAACGTGGCATTCAAACATGGCCAATTTCAAGTAGGCATGCAACAGGGTCCCTGAGAGAATGCACATTTGGGCCACCTTTACAAATGACTTGGAGGAGCAAAGCAGATATTTTTTGCGCGCTGGTGTCCAAATCGCCCCGCACAAATCCTGGGAGGCGAGGGGTTAAGATGGTTAAATGGTTATGGCATTTGGTGTCATGGCCATGTTTCTGTATGCATGTGTCCTCGCTTTGTGCTTACCATCGCCAAAAAACAAAACTACATAAACACAAGCAAAACCAAGCTCCCCTGAACAAGTAACCCGAAATGCTTCTGGGTTGGGGTGTGAGCAGTTTTCCGCCGACCGCCCGACCTGCGAGGCAGCTTGCATCCGTGTCTTCGTGAGCACCGAAGGCTCGGGGTGGGAGGCTCTGAAATGGAGTCAGGCCATGGTTCTCAAAAGCGCTGCGGTTCTCCAGGGCACCCTACATGTCAGGCAAGTTTCATTGTAGGGTGGTGGTAGGCCAATCCAACAGAATTCTCCAACTTTCGGGAAAGGGGGGGTGATGTTTCTGGATAGCCTTCGGCAGCCCAAGACGCCCGAGCCCAGTCCGTCGCCATGGCGTGCGCCGCCCGGGGCCCGCGCCCGGAGCTGGCGCCCATGCCGCTGACGGCTGGGGCCGCCAGGCAGGCGGTGGGCGCCTACAAGAAGGCAGGGAGCAGGCGGGTTGGACAGCTACCCTCTTATCTGGGGAAAACATTAGGACCCCTGGCTAGGTTTTTTCCTTCACCCATCCACCAACATGGAATCTGACAGGATGAAGGGTATGTTTCGGAACCGATAGGTCGCGAAGGAGTCTTTCTTGTTTCACTGAGTGTTTCCCTCACTTAATTTGCCATTGTTATAGTCGCTCCGTTCCGCCTCAGCCGTATATGGCTGGCTTCCTAACGAAGCTGTTTCTCCTCGCAGGTTAGAACGGAACTGAACAAAAGTCCAAAAAACGATTTCCGCTAGAAGTAGCTTCTTTTACATGCCCTTTCGAAACTGGCTGGCTTGGAAGAGCAACAGCGCGGGATTTGCCAGCATCCCCTCACAAGATTGGAGACATCCAAAACCCGGGTCAGTGGATGGTAGGGACAATCCCTACGTTAATGATCCTTACCGAAGTGCTTCGGACCAAATGTTAATTCGGACTTGCCTGGGTAGTGTTTTTTTTGTGTTGGATGGGGTGTTGGGAAGGGCAAAGGGCCACCGAGTGGAAGGGGCGGGCGCCAGGCCAAGGCGTGGGCAAATGCTGTGCAGCTTCTTGCAGGGCAGCTTGGCAAGGCAGCCAGGAAACTTGGGTGCCCTTTGTCAGTGACTTTATTGAACCGTATCCATGTTGTCAAGACACCTTCACTGCGGATATGTTTGTTATTGTCTGCGTTTGACTTTTTGCTTGGGGAATAGGCAGGTTCCGCCAGCTTGAAGTTGGTTCTCACAATCTATCCATCTATGTTCGAAAGGAGCCGACTGGCTTGGTGATGTTTCCCCAACAGCACCACCAGATGTTGGAGTCTGT